CCTCATGACGGAGTAACACTCCATTATTTCACTAGTTACACATAGAACATTATGTTTCTTCCACTGAAGACTACGTTATTCTCCATTCCATCATTCAGTATTTCTTGTATCACTTTGTATAGATTTCTTCAGAATTTTCTGTGTTCGAACACAATCACATATCCGACGACTATACATACAAGGTTGATTCTTCGAAAAAGAATTCCAACTTCCAATTTCATTCAATTAATCGTCGAAAAAAATGCATCATTTTGAATGAATATTCATGAAACGATTATCAAAGCTTTGAATTTGAAAATTCCGAAAACGTTTCGACAGAAAGCATCAATCAATAGGATACAGGTGAGAAAAAAAAATCTGTTCAAACGGTGAGGTGACGACCACGATGCAATTTTACACCCATTCAATTATCACCCTGTAGCAATGTTATCTGAAATTACAGAAGTTTCATATTGCCACAACAAACTGTCGAGAGATTAGGCTAATCACCGGTGAAAACCGATCTCAAATTGGTAAGGAGATTCGTGAGTTCGTGATCCTACTTTGAATTCAGGCTATATTTTGGACCACGACGTTATCAATGTTGACCTGTTTTTCTATAACTTGTTATTCAAACATTTTTCAAGAATCCATATCTTCTTCTAGTTGAGAAACTTGCTGTTACACGTGAGAGCCGTCAATTCCAAAGAGGACATCAACAAGAGCAAGGCGAAAAAGTTCGAGAAATCCACCGCGAACATCACCATCGACAAGCTGGGCCTGCCGTCGAGGAAGACCGACTTCTACATGGGCTGCGACGTCATCCACGAGCTGAGCGTGACGCTGCACACCGTCAAGAGGTCGACGGCGCCCAACGACCGTACGCAGCGCTGCCTCATGCTGGAGTCGAACGTGTTCGTGCAGTCGCTCATCCTCACCGCCGTGTCCGGGGCCAGCAATGAGGTAATTAAATCGCATCACTCATGGAAATACTCGTATGTTATACTAAGAGTATATTGGTGCTTATAGAAATACAAATCCCTTTGACCTTGAGAAACAAATTATGTTATTCGCCATTCCATCATTCAGTATTTCCTGTATCAATTTGTATAGACTTCTTCAGAATTTTCTGTGTTTGAACACAATCACATATCCGACGACTATACATACTACGTTGATTCTTCGAAAAAGAATTCCAACTTCCAATTCCATTCAATTAATCGTCGAAGAAAATGCATCATTTTGAATGAATATTCATGAAACGAAAGTGAGAACAAAAAAATATATCTGTGACGACCACGATGCACTTTCACACCCATTCAATTATCACTCTGTAGCAATGTTATCTGAAATTACAGAAGTTTCATATTGCCATAACAAACTGTCAAGAAATTAGGCTAATCATCGGTGAAAACCGAATTCAAATTGGTGAGGAAATTCGTGAGTTGTTCTACTTTGAACACTAAATTTGATAAATATTGTTATTGCTATGAAACAAATTAAATAACTGAACACTAAACAACACAACAAAAACTCTTATGCAGGAAAAAAAAAGGATGACAAGATGAATGACAAAGAAATAACTTGTGTCAATTGTCATTTTTGATTCAGTTCAGTGTTTTTGATACTGCAACGGTGACCCGGAAAGAACTATTTTTTATAGTGGTTAAATGCACGATTCATAATAAAACAATGGCATTTTCTCAGGTGCGAGATGAGCCTATAAAAAAAAAACAAAGCCGAATCATAAAAAAAATCCTCCGCTCGAGAAAATAAAAAACCCAAATAGCGATTAATCGCCTAGGTTGGCAATCCTGGAATTCTTCGGACTAAATGATAATAGATAGGCACCGCGAATTCGCGAATGGTGGGGATATTTTTTTTTTCATCTCTCTCAAAAGGGAATCCCTTCAATGTAGGGAGGATAAGGAGAGGAGGTAGGTATTGGATTTTTTTCTGAACCCACCCTTCCTATTCACAAATGGTAATGTTTTCATGATTACTACAGATATACAATAATTGAGAAATTAATAAAGTTTCAATGTCAGACTAAAATATCAAAAATATATGTAGGAATATAAACCCTCTATACAAGATATTGTAACAATATTGATAATAACTCTTGGAATAATTCTTTGTAGGAATATAAACCCTCTATACAAGATATTGTGTCATGGTGATAATAATAATATCTAGTATTGATTGTACTTATATGAAACTTGAAGTATTAATAAAACTAAGGAGGAATTATTCCAAGAGTTATTATCAATATTGTTACAATGGCGCAGTCGGTGGAAGGAGGAGATTTTTTACGTATCAATTATGATGAAAATGCAGAAGAGACTATCTATAATGAAAATTTGGATGGACGTGACAGCAGAAATGTCATGATGATTGGAAAGGAAGATCTTGACAAAATGATGGAAAAATGGACAAAAATTGCTACGGCAGACAAAAATCCAATGAGAATAGAACCGTTTAGCGGCAATAATGAAGATCCAAACGCTTGGATTAGTAGATTCGAATACATGGCATTGTCTAGAAAATGGGAATCCGATTCAGAGAAAATATTCAACATGCGATCTTATCTCACTGGTATCGCAATAAAATGGTTTGAAGACAAATTGAAAATAGATGTGAATAATTTCAAATGGATGGATTGGAGGATTGATTTCATGAGTTTTGTAGGAATATAAACCCTCTATACAAGATATTGTGTCATGGTGATAATAATAATATCTAGTATTGATTGTACTTATATGAAACTTGAAGTATTAATAAAACTAAGGAGGAATTATTCCAAGAGTTATTATCAATATTGTTACAATATATAATTTCGTTATTTAACTACTACACTAGCTGTATCAAGTGAGAACCAGCCCCATATTTCTGTAGGCAGAATCCTTCATGATCTGGCTCGAAGGACCATGTCGGTTTTTACAAAGTAGGCGATATCCTTCCAAATACAACTCTTCCATGTTATTCAAGGTTCTGGATCTTGTGCTGGATATCCTGGATTGGATAGCCTCGACCAGACTGACCAGGAATAGGAGCAACAATGGAGAGGCACCCAATCAGCAACTGGAGTTTCTGGCGATCGTCGAAGAGAATTTGGCTGCGCTGGCGCATCAGTGTTTGTTGCTCGGAGGAAGGAGTATAGCGCACAAGTGTGTCAGGTTGATATTAACTTGTTGCAGGTGAGTAAAACACGATTTTTCAAGTTTTTTCAATTTCACAGAAATTTCGTAGGAATTGAAAAAAATATCAAAAAATAGTTATAATCATATGAATTATAGTGATTCAGGGTGTAAGTGTATGAAACACGGTCAAAAAATTCATTTTTCGAAAAAAAAAAAATTGTAGCACTATTCCATAATCAACAAGTTATATTTTGGTTGGTGAGACATTGTAACTAGACATGTTTACTATGAGATCCGATCGATACTTTTTCTAGCTCACTTTGTCTTATTTATACAACAAAAAACAGAATTTTCTGAGCTGAAACCAATTAACTTGGGTGTGCCTCAGGAATCGGTATTGGGTCCGCTGTTGTTTGTGATTTATATTAACGATCTCTACAAATATATGAAACCATGTCACAATGTATTAGTTGCTGACGATACATCCCTCATTTACTCCTCAAAAAATCTGTCATCTCTTGCTGATCAATCTGTCGAAATACAAGGAAAAGCCAACTATTGGCTTAGTGTTAATTAACTTATGATGAATAACGATAAATCACAAAACATGGTGATATCTACGGTTCAGCCATTACCTGAGTTCCAAACTGTTAAGTTATTGGGTTTTACCTTGGATAATAGGTTAAATTGGTCCAGCCACATGCTAGGTTTGAAAAGTAAATTATCGAGTGCTCTATTTTTACTTCGACAACTAAAACCTATAACTAATTCCACTACATTGAAAATAGTTTTTTGCTTACTAATTCAATCTCATATTTCTTATGGGATCCTACTATGGGGAAATTCTAGTGATGCCCAATGTATTTTCATATTACAAAAAAAGGCTCTGACAATTCTTGTTGGAATTGGTTACAGAGATTCGTGTCGTGATTCATTCATAAATCACAAAATAATGTCAGTACCTTCAATGTATATATGTATATACGAGTATAGTAGAGATTCACAAAAAAACTCCCCTGCTTCCTAAGCAATCCAGTTTACATAATCACAATACACGCAACAGTGATCTTATCAGACCACAACGTTACAACTCAGCAAATCACAAAAAAAATCTCATGATCTCAGATTTTATAATGCTCTTCCTGCCAGTATTAAAACTATGAATATGTTTTATTTCAAGAGAGTTATGAAAGATTATTTTGAAAAAATTGCTTTTACTCGATTGCAGAATATCTGGCTCACGTTAGTGGCCACAATTTTGATACAAGGAACACACTTGCCTAACATCCACTCTTGAGGGAAACGTAAATGTGTATTTTGTTTTTGATTGTATACTATTTGTCATTGATCGTATATTTTTTGTCTTTTATTGTAAATTATAATTTTTTACATTCTTTTCACCAAAATGGAATCATTTAGGTCTTGCTACAAATGTATGAATGTACATCAAGTAGTCAATAAAATTCTACTCTACTCTACTCTATAATTCAATAAGTAAATTGTTATTCAATGAAAACAAAAATGTGTCTCATATTATTACTTCAGACATTTCAAGACCACTATAAATGTGTCCCCATTCTTCAAAAACCATACTCTAGGCTTCTCGACACTCGTCATCATTTTGCAGAGGCGCAGAAAATATCGGCTCGGACCGCTCAGACCGCCTATCCTCCTGCGTCCTCGCCGCCCTCTTCCGAACCCTCGACTCGATCCAAGACGTACGATCCTCCGCCGGCCTGCAGTGGCTGTTCGCCCTCCTCCTCGAGGCCACCGGCAAGGCGAAGGAGGCCGCCCTCACCGCCCGCTGCGTCTCGCTGCTGGGCAAGGTGGCGCGAGAGCTGATGGGCAGGTCCAATCCGTACCACCTGTTGCTCAGAGGTAAAATGGGTACAAACAGTACTCAAGTCATTAGATAATAAATCAAGAAACAGCAGCATTGTGCCTTGACCTGTCAAATGCATTCGACAGCGTCGACCATACCATTCTGTGCAGGAAACTAGATCGTATGGGAATCGGAGAGGTGCCACTAATTCTTATCAATTCATACCCCCAGAATAGAAAGCAACCTCTGACTATGATGGGAACGGTATTCCTATCAAATCCGAAATCAAAATAGTAAAAAAAGGCTCAATAATCGGTCCTCTATTATACATTCCATACTTCTAATATCAATCTTCATTTCACCATCATATCCATACAAATACAGTCCACTATCTATGAAGCATATTGGTCCTTTGAGCCGGATCTATTCAAATCAAACCTTCAGAAGACTGCCAAGCTCTTCACGAAGGATACAGAGCAGCACTCAAAACTACCTGTAGTAACGGTGAATGCCAATCAGCTGAAGCTTTCACAGGTAGCAACACGCAGTTCGAGCGAACACATCTTGTTGTAAATAACCAAGGGTACTGGCAAGAAGTTGAATAACCATGACTTTCGGTATGGACGCATTGTTAGACCAACAAGAACCTTTCTTAACTACAGCGGCCTCACCGCTCGCTGCATCTCGCTGCTGGGCAAGATGGCGCGAGAGCTGATGGGCAGGTCCAATCCGTACCACCGGTCATAGTTTTTGGCTGGTGTGATCTCTACCCTCTGCTACTCACTATAAGTAGTTCACCTTGTTGCTGAAACATGAAATTCATTAATTAAATGAATAACTAAAGAAGCAATGCAATACACACTGCAATTCTCCATTTCACCATCATATCCATACAAATACAGTCCACTATCTAAGAAGCATAATATGTCGTTGGACGATTGTATGAAACTCCAGAACGATCTCGATAGGTTAGATGTGTATTGTAAAAATATTAGATTATTTTTGAACTCAAGGAAATGTTGCAGTATTAGCTTTCCTTGGAATCAGAAGCCTATTACATTTGATTATAATTTGAATGGTTCCCATTTTGAAAAAGTATCTTATATTGAGGACCTTGGAGTTATTTTCGATTCCAAATTGAGTTTTGCAATGCATATTGATTATGTTACTAACAAATGCAATAGAATGTTAGGTTTTATTAAAAGAACTTGTAAATAGTTTCGGTCTCAAAATTCAATCAAAACATTATATTATACCTACGTATATAGCCGATTATGTTTTGCGTTATTTGGAGTCCTTATTATACCAACCACAAAGTCCGATTGGAGAGAGTTCAAAATAATTTTGTGAGATTTCTGAACTTCAGAGTGAACAATTCATTTGTTGTAGAGAGTATTAACCAAACCAGACACTCTTTTGGACTTATAACCTTGGAGCAACGTAGAATTATGTTTGATTTATTATTCATGTATAAAATAATGAGGAATCATTTCAGTTCTTCTATGTTGTTATCTCTCATATCATTCCATGTACCGTCTAGACCCACAAGACTTGAAATATTTTTGACTGTCAATTTTTGTCATACCAATTTGGGACTGAACTCGCCAATAAGTAGAATGAGTGATAATTTTATTAAATATTGCAGCAACGTAGATATACATTGTACATCATTGAATCAGTTCAGGGCACTTATTAGAAACCATATATTCGTCTGATTGATCAAAATTCGGAATTTATTTTTGTTTTATCTTCAGGTACTGAATATTTAATATTATTGTGATATTTACTTCGTAAAATGTAAGCATCAGAGTATTCTGTGTAACTAGTGGATACAGTTTTGGGGTTCTGCCTGTTTGTATCCTATTTTCATTAAATGAATAAATAAATAAATAAATAAATAAAAGGCTGATGATGGACATATACAGTGTCATTCATAAAGTCAACGTCATATGGGAAACACTTTTATTAATGACTTATTTTGAAATTCGAGTTGGACGTCAAACGTCTTGCTTCAAAAAAGATGAAAAATGGCCTACTCAATTGGGGTCACGTGACTTTCGCTACATGTCATAAGTGACATTTTTTCAAATTAATCGCTGAAAGTAGGCTATTTGTTCGAATATCAAAAAAGTTTACTTGAAAAAGTTGTTTCTATTTCAATTTTACATATGTGTCTCGGATATTATCTTTCTATTACATTTTTTAGATTTCGATATTTTTTAAAAAATTTCGAAATTTCTGTAATATTAAAAAAAATGTAAATTCGATACAACTACTTCATACCAGTAGCTCCATCATGCTACTAACTTTCAATTACTAATTATCACTAATTATCGACAAAAATATGATTTTCTTCAGAAAAAAAATTAAGTTATGTTTGATGCAAACATAACATCAAAATGCTGTTATGTTAGAGTCAAGCATTTAGAAACGAAATTCATTTGAATTTATTTTTTCAGTACTGAAAAGATCAGTTTAAATGAATTTCGTTTCTAAATGCTTGACGATATATCAACTTTGCATCAAACATAACAGAATTTGGAAGCGGGTATTATCATTTTCTGAAGAAAATCATATTTCTGTCCATAATCATTGATAATAAGTAATTGGAATTAAGAAGCATGAAAAAGCTACTGGTATGAAGTAGTTTCGTGAAATTAACAATTCTTCAAATATTACAGAAATTTTGAAAAATAAAAAAAAATTTAAATCTAAAAGTTGCAATAAAAGGATCAAATTTGAGAAGCATGTGTGAAATTGAAATAGAAACAACTTTTTCAAGTAAACTTTTTCGATATTCGAACAAATAAGCCTACTTTCAGCGATCAATTTGAAAAAATGTCACTTTTGACATGTTGCGAAAGTCACGTGACCCTGATTGAGTAGGCCATTTTTTATCATTTTTGAAGCAAAACTCAACGTTCAACTCGAATTCCAAAATAAGACATTAATAAAAGTTTTTCCCATATGATGCCGACTTTATGAATGACACTGTATATGTCCGAAACATGTATCAACCAGTTAATCACATTAAATGTCGTGGAGATGACTTCGTGTATCATTTAGTATTTTTCCCTTATCATAGGTCGTTACGGCCTGTACGGCACGCCCATGGAGCCGGCGCTCTTCGACGTCGAGCCGCCGTCGCCAGCGAAGGCGTCGGACGCCGTGGATGCCTACCTGGGGCAGTGCTCGACGCCGCAACCGGGCGTGGAGGGCGGGGGAGGGCAGCCGGCGGGGGGCGGCGCGTCTGCCGCCCGCCCTGACGGCGAGGGCCTCAGCGCCAAGGACGTGCTGTCGACGTCGACGGCGCGGCTGCGGCACAAGAACGTCGCCTCGCAGCGAGTCATACACGGTGAGTGAGGGAGTGGCATATTCTTTGATTGATTGATTTATTGTCTCTCGGAAAGTATTCGTCCTATCGACTCGCTCTCGGTCTCATTCGATTCAGCAGCTCATTTTCCTTCAGAAAAGTGATAATTCGCGTGGATTTCCGCCGTTTTCCGGCACTTTCGGCCATCCGAAGGTGCCTCGGTCGTTTTTTCGTATAGGACTGTCAGGAGGAAAAATAAAAATTTTTATTCGGCCTATTAAAAATCTGAAAAAATTCATGTAGACCAATTCGAGATCGTAATGAAAGAATCCATGGTGGAAATTGAGAAATTCTGGCCAATAGAGCTTCAGTAGCCTCCGGAAGTGCTCCTATTGGCAAAAAAAGCATATAGCTGGCTTTCGGTGCCGATATCTCGAAAAGTATTCGTCCTATCGACTCGCTCTTGATCTCATTCGATTCAGCAGCTCATTTTCCTTCAGAAAAGTGATAATTCGCGTGGATTTCCGCCGTTTTCCGGCACTTTCGGCCATCCGAAGGTGCCTCGGTCGTTTTTTCGTATAGGACTGTTAGGAGGAAAAATAAAAATTTTTATTCGGCCTATTAAAAATCTGAAAAAACTCATGTAGACCAATTCGAGATCGTAATGAAAGAATCCATGGTGGAAATTGAGAAATTCTGGCCAATAGAGCTTCAGTAGCCTCCGGAAGTGCTCCTATTGGCAATAAAAGCATATAGCTGGCTTTCGGTGCCGATATCTCGAAAAGTATTCGTCCTATCGATTCGCTCTCGGTCTCATTCGATTCAGCAGCTCATTTTCCTTCAGAAAAGTGATAATTCGCGTGGATTTCCGCCGTTTTCCGGCACTTTCGGCCATCCGAAGGTGCCTCGGTCGTTTTTTCGTATAGGACTGTTAGGAGGAAAAATAAAAATTATTATTCGGCCTATTAAAAATCTGAAAAAAATCATGTAGACCAATTCGAGGTCGTAATGAAAGAATCCATGGTGGAAATTGGGAAATTCTGGCCAATAGAGCTTCAGTAGCCTCCGGAAGTGCTTCTATTGGCAATAAAAGCATATAGCTGGCTTTCGGTGCCGATATCTCGAAAAGTATTCGTCCTATCGACTCGCTCTCGGTCTCATTCGATTCAGCAGCTCATTTTCCTTCAGAAAAGTGATAATTCGCGTGGATTTCCGCCGTTTTCCGGCACTTTCGGCCATCCGAAGGTGCCTCGGTCGTTTTTTCGTATAGGACTGTTAGGAGGAAAAATAAAAATTTTTATTCGGTCTATTAAAAATCTGAAAAAATTCATGTAGACCAATTCGAGGTCGTAATGAAAGAATCCATGGTGGAAATTGAGAAATTCTGACCAATAGAGCTTCAGTAGCCTCTGGAAGTGCTCCTATTGGCAATAAACGCATATAGCTGGCTTTCGGTGCCGATATCTCGAAAAGTATTCATCCTATCGACTCGCTCTTGGTCTCATTCGATTCAGCAGCTCATTTTCCTTCAGAAAAGTGATAATTCGCGTGGATTTCCGCCGTTTTCCGGCATTTTCGGCCATCCGAAGGTGCCTCGGTCGTTTTTTCGTATAGAACTGTTAGGAGGAAAAATAAAAATTTTTATTCGGCCTATTAAAAATCTGAAAAAATTCATGTAGACCAATTCGAGGTCGTGATGAAAGAATCCATGGTGGAAATTGGGAAATTCTGGCCAATAGAGCTTCAGTAGCCTCCGGAAGTGCTCCTATTGGCAATAAACGCATATAGCTGGCTTTCGGTGCCGATATCTCGAAAAGTATTCGTCCTATCGATTCGCTCTCGGTCTCATTCGATTCAGCAGCTCATTTGCCTTCAGAAAAGTGATGATTCGCGTGGATTTCCGCCGTTTTCCGGCACTTTCGGCCATCCGAAAGTGCCTCGGTCGTTTTTTCGTATAGAACTGTCAGGAGGAAAAATAAAAATTTTTATTCGGCCTATTAAAAATCTGAAAAAATTCATATAGACCAATTCGAGGTCGTGATGAAAGAATCCATGGTGGAAATTGGGAAATTCTGGCCAATAGAGATTCAGTAGCCTCTGGAAGTGCTCCTATTGGCAATAAAAGCATACAGCTGGCTTTCGGTGCCTATATCTCGAAAAGTATTCGTCCTATCGACTCGCTCTTGGTCTCATTCGATTCAGCAGCTCATTTTCCTTCAGAAAAGTGATAATTCGCGTGGATTTCCGCCGTTTTCCGGCACTTTCGGCCATCCGAAAGTGCCTCGGTCGTTTTTTCGTATAGAACTGTCAGGAGGAAAAATAAAAATTTTTATTCGGCCTATTAAAAATCTGAAAAAATTCATATAGACCAATTCGAGGTCGTGATGAAAGAATCCATGGTGGAAATTGGGAAATTCTGGCCAATAGAGATTCAGTAGCCTCCGGAAGTGCTCCTATTGGCAATAAACGCATATAGCTGGCTTTCGGTGCCGATATCTCGAAAAGTATTCATCCTATCGACTCGCTCTTGGTCTCATTCGATTCAGCAGCTCATTTTCCTTCAGAAAAGTGATAATTCGCGTGGATTTCCGCCGTTTTCCGGCACTTTCGGCCATCCGATAGTGCCTCGGTCGTTTTTTCGTATGGGACGGTTAGGAGGAAAAATAAAAATTTTTATTCGGCCTATTAAAAATCTGAAAAAATTCATGTAGACCAATTCGAGGTCGTGATGAAAGAATCCATGGTGGAAATTGGGAAATTCTGGCCAATAGAGCTTCAGTAGCCTCCGGAAGTGCTCCTATTGGCAATAAACGCAAATAGCTGGCTTTCGGTGCCGATATCTCGAAAAGTATTCGTCCTATCGATTCGCTCTCGGTCTCATTCGATTCAGCAGCTCATTTGCCTTCAGAAAAGTGATGATTCGCGTGGATTTCCGTCGTTTTCCGGCACTTTCGGCCATCCGAAAGTGCCTCGGTCGTTTTTTCGTATGGGACGGTTAGGAGGAAAAATAAAAATTTTTATTCGGCCTATTAAAAATCTGAAAAAATTCATGTAGACCAATTCGAGGTCGTAATGAAAGAATCCATGGTGGAAATTGGGAAATTCTGGCCAATAGAGCTTCAGTAGCCTCCGGAAGTGCTCCTATTGGCAAAAAAAGCATATAGCTTTCAATTTTAAAGTACATATTGAGTTAATATAAATTAAAAATAAAATTAGCCCCAAAACTGACCCTTGCGGTACACCACATGTAATATCCATCAAGGAACTACAAGTATTATTCACTAAACATATACGGATAACAAGGATCTCCAAGTGAAGCCAAAAAATAAAATGAATGACAGTCTGCGAGCACAACTGTATTACAGCGCATGCATCATCTAAAAATAAGAAAAGACATCAGTTTGCAAAATTCCTTTCAGCAGGCGATGGCTTTGTAATGAACATATGAGTATTGTCATATTAAAACTTTCGTGAAATGTACGACATAACCTAAAATTCAATGTTTATATTTTGTTATCTGAATCCATTCTGAATCTGAAGCCTCAGACAAGAAATCATGACTGAGACTTCACTGGAATTCATATTAGCGAAGTTTTGGTGGTTTTGATGAAGCAAACAGCTTTAATTCGCGGTTTTGGAACAAGTTTGCTGAAGTTTTTTGTCTCAGAATACCAACAAGCGCAAGACATTATGAACATACAAATTAACAGCTTCCCAACAGATGCAAAATTGTACAAATTGTGGCAGAACAACAAAAAAATTGGGAAGCCCATTTACAAATATATATGCCTGTCTGTAGCATGTAATGAAAATTAGTTCAAAACGCCCTTAGCTCTTTAAATTTGTGAACAATGAGATTCCTGAGGGGTGAATTCTTTGGACTATCCTCCTGTAGGTGATTTTTGTGCTATCAGGATGGAATATTGATTGTGTTAAGTGAAATGGGCGCCAGCTTATTTTATTTATGAATGATAAAAAAAACAAGCAAAAAAAAAAAACTAGAAGTCAAGAAATAGGTAAGTACTCAATTCATGAACTTTTATCTCAAGAACTCTCTTCCTGTTAGTAGAAGCAATAAAAACAAAATTTTCAAATATACATCTATTAACAACAATGAAAAGTGTTGAAATTCACAATGCAAAATGATTTACAATATATTTACTGTTCTCAACTTTTACGAGTTCTGATCAATATTGTTAACTCAGACCATAACACGATACTTGCGAATGTGTCCTAGATTCCCGGTTAGTACAACCAGCCTCTGTAGATAGATCTAAACGAATGCTGCTCAGCTCTAATGCAGTTCCACAATTTACGAGGTCGAAGATGGCAGTTGACAGCTCGGATGGTTTCTAGAGGCGAGCTCCTCGGCTCTTTGCAGGTCTTCAATCTCAGCACTGAGATGTGAGGAATCTAGGTGGTCTTCAACGACTCGCGTTGTACTGGTCGTATTGAGCTTCTCGATTGATCACTCGTGTGTCGACATAGAATAGAAGTTAACGAGAATCAGTAAATTTTCAAGGAGGGTGAACCGCTGATGGTTCCTAGTGAAACATGTCTTGAAGCTGAGGGCTACAAAACACAAATGTTGAAGTCTAGTATATAAAAAGACTGAAAGTCAATGCTGAAGTTTACAATGACAAAATATTGAAAATCAACTTTATCAAAAAAGAATACAGAATTATCAAAAAGATACCAGATTACCAGAAAACAATAAAATTGATTCAAAAATATGTGTATCTATCTTGGTATTACATATACATATACAGATAATATGATCTTAAGATAAAATTGAAATTGTCAAGATAGTATCGATGCAATGTTTGACATAAGAAAATAATTGCTGAATTATCACACTTCGTGCAATTGGCCACTTGCACGAATGAGAAATTTGAATTTTATAATTGCCACAATAGATCAAAATATTTCCTGGGAAGAAGGAAAGAGGAAAGAGAAAATGGGTTTTGAGTGAAGGTAGGCACAACCTTCAAATTCCAAATTTTTTACATGAGATTGAACAATAGTCACTCTGTTTAAATAGCAAATGAATCAATGATACTAATTCACTCAGGTGGATAAGAATTGTGAATCTCTCATCCAAGAAAAAACAAAAGATGCGCACGTGAGCAACAGTTGACACTAACAGATTTAATATCTAGATTCAAAATGTACACTGTTTACTCACCTGCGCATGTATTTCTTCTCCTTGAGCCAAAATTCACAATCCTTCCTGTGTTTCTCCAAATTTCCACCACAAATCGATTTTATACTTATGCAGTCTTCACGACTATGATTTCCTTGGCGGCAGCCAAACTGAAAGAATTAAAAAAAAAACACACAGAAAATTTTCCACTCAAAGGAATCCTGGGTGATCACGTGCTCTGGCACGCAATCAAATTTCGATACTGATCAAAGTATCGAAGGAGAGCAATGCAACAACTATTTTACCAAGCTGTAAAACATGCTACCAAGCAATAATGTTCCAAAGAGCTATTCGTTCAAAGAAAAGAAAATTTGCTATCCAAACAGTCTACTGCGTGCTATTAGACACGGCCATTTTCTGATCAAAATGCTCACTACAAGAAATTCAACAAAATTAAATCTGCAATCTTCGAAACAATCAAAAATCAAAATCGTGCCTACCTCAAATCACTCGGATGTCACAAACGTTGAAAAACTCGAGCTTCCAAAATTTTTCTACGGGAGAATCGACAAAAATCGAAAAGGTCAACGTCGAGTTGTTCTTTGTTCGAAAGGTCAAAGGGAAGAGAAAGAATTTTCGTTTCACCTTCGCTTCAAGCGAATTCATTATCACGTGACTTCTATCAATCATTCAATTGGCCAACGGACATGTCCGTAAATACACTTGTTGAATTGTATACGCGCAGGTTCCTACTCCTTAGCTAGTGATTCAGTTCTAGGACTCTAATTACCATCATCATAGTAGAACGAAGGGAACTGGAAGTGTTGTTTAATGTTCGTGATATTTCCAACAGATGCCGCTGCCAGTATCAAATTGATCTATTAACAACTTTTATTGATATTCATTATGAATAACTTGAAAACGAGTAACGAATTATATTTCGTTACAAGCAGACACTTCTTAGAAACAGATTATGAAGGTAATTTCTTTCATTTTGAGAAAATATCTTTTCAGTGTTCTATGTGATGTGCTTTTCCTTCAAGTTTCAAGGGAATTCAAATACAATTGCAGAAGTAGGTACATTTTCAGTGACGCAGATTGAATACCTTCACAGAATTCACCGATTACAATACATCAAAATGTAAAACCTGTGATCAATAATAGCATCTTTATAACAATTAAGTACTGGACTCCGCTAAGTTCCTATTTTTCTTTCATTTAATTGTGAATCAGTCACGCGACAAAATTTAAAGTTTTTATCTGTCAGTTTGCAGATACCTAGCAAGTTTGGGAAAAATAAAATTGGTTTGTCTGACTCGGCTCGTTTCTTTGCCGCAAATATATACAGTGTGAACCCTAACCCAAAAACCCTGAGATTTAAAAGAGTTTCGCCGCAGTGTCAATAATTCTTATACTTCCCTTTCCAGGTCTCATCGAAACCCAGCCTTTGCACTTCACCTGCCTCGCTGCCAGCGAAGGCACCCGAGTGGAACGCGCCGACGCCGCTTCGTCGCCCCCCTCCTACCTCAGCAGCCTGATGCCCGTGTCGTTCTCGGCGAACGCCACTGACGCGGCCGGCAACAAGAAGGAGTACATGGAGAAGCTGATGGACAGCGTGGGCAAGATGATGAAGGCGCAGCTGAAGGGCAAGCAGGGCGGGCAGGCTGGCGGTGGGGCGGGGGGCAGCGAGCCCGACGGCATGGACAAGTGGATGGCGATGTTCGGGGAGGCGGATCAGGTGGCCGTCGACGTGGATAGTAAGCTCGGTGAGTTGTGTTTTCAGATGCCAATTGTTTCCAAAAAAAGCGAAAAATCTCGCAAGTATCACATTTCCTAGTAATACAGGTCGTACTGAATTGATTTGAGTACTCCTGCAGGCCGCTAGGACCTATTGTTTTTGAGATATTAACGATTAAAGTGCGCTAAAAATCAGCAATCCACTTATTGTGAAAAAATTCGGGTGTGCATTCACATATTTTTGATTCAGAGTACTGTAACTACGCAAGCCAGTTCGCTTGGTAGAATATTTCATCATATAGTATTGATTCATCTGGTAAGTCATTTTCTTATTTCTGATATTTGAGGATCATATTTAGTTCTTCAGTTCATGACTCCATTGATGAGGGTTCAATTTCTATGAGTAGCTTCATTTTTTATCAGAGGAATAGGTAACAAATCATAAATTCTATCACTCCAACATTGGATTATATCCCAGGTATGGTAAGGCCTTGTTGGATGCTCGATGCTGCAGTGTTGTGCTTTATTACAACATCAGAAAGCTTGGTAAGTAATCTGAGCTTCGATTTGTATCGATTTATTCCAGTTACAAAGGCAGGAAGAGTCTATTTTGTGGAAAAAACTCTACCAATTCACAAACGTTTGACGCTGTCAGACGTTCATAAATTCACTTCGAATCTGAAGTAGAACCACAGGGACAGACTTATAATTATGTGAAAATAGCTACCTGATCTTTGGACGCACCCTGAAATGTGGCCAAAAAAGGGGCCAAATCCAGGGTTTGTATCAATTAAAGAGCATCAGTAACCATGGAAGTGGGCCTAGCGACAATCACAACAAACGGTTTCCCTATACCTAACTTTTGAGATGCAGGGTATCAAAGTTGAATATATGCATAGATTATTTTTTTTGTCCACCCTGTATAGCTTTTCGTAGTGAAAACAATTCAGTCTGCTTTGTGACTGAAACGATGCAAAAATTTCAAAATGTTACATACTGTGGTTATCCAGTAATTGATATCCTGAATGGACTACTCAGCATAGCATTTACATCAAAATTTGAAGTATGGTCTCGTTTTCCGTTTTATCTCGAAAACGGAGCGTTCTATCGAGTATCAACAAGAAGATCTTTTTTGTACAGAATTAAATGGCCTTTCATAGGATTGTATGAAATTTGTAAATTTTTCTTCGTTGCTCACTTTCAAGTAAAATATAAATAATAATATCCCCCAAACGGCGCCACTGGTAGAGAAAATGAAAATCTGTTTACATCAGAAAATGCACCTTGATGCATAGGAGACATGTACCAAATTTGGTGAAGATGTCTAAAATATTATCTGAGATATTATTAAAAAACAAATTTGTTTTCAAAACTTTATCGCCCTGTATCTCAAAAGTGAAGACTTTTAAGACTAACGTTCATAGCCTCATAGGAATTTTTATCTTGAAATGAGTCAAAGAATCACCGCCTTGAATATTAGCATGTCTTTAAGGAACAACCTGTATAATTATTAATGTATCATAAATGCTTCCCTCGTTCTCAAACACAGGCGGTAGATCTAGGGCAATCATCATCGTTGTCTGCTGAAAACGATGTTGCCTCGGGACAAATGTAAATTTCTTCTTCCCTCTTTTTATATGTCTATGGTTTCATGAAGTCATTTATACTACACCAACTAGATTATATCACAATTCCCATCCCAGATGCGATTTTCGTGAACATCTCCAAGCAACTAGAGAACCCCGCTCCGGCCGCCCATAAGCCACCGGCCGCCCAACCCGAAGAGGTCTTCTCCGCGTCGAGCCACGCCAGCATGCTGCCCTGGCAACAATTACTCGCCGTGCCACCCAAGCAGGTCTGTTTTAATATGCAAAATGTGTGTCGTTCAATGTACTTGTGTGTTCTTTTATCAAGTATTCTTCTCACATTACAAACCACAGAACTCAGAGACCTAGAAGGGATTTATCGTTCTATTTGAGCGTTCCCTAACGTGGCTTGAAAGGCAAATATGAGCATGCGCAGTAGAGACACGAAAATGCCAGGGGCGGGTTCAGAATTATTTGATTACCAGGTTTCTATGGCATTTATGAAAGAGCATTATGAGAAATCTATATGATATTTGTTATCATGGGTTTTTTCAATGTTATTAGGAGTGGTGTTTCGATATATTTTCTATCAACTTGAGAGTTCATTAGGTAGAAATGGACGACTCAATATACAGGGTGGTCCAGGTAATATTATCACCAAAAAATAAGTCGGCATGCATATTGTAATTTTTTTCCAAAATGCTCCTTAAGGGAGATTCCTACAGTTGTCCAAAGGTCGGTTTCAAAAATCCATTTTGTTTTTAGGGCATAGAAGGGGTTTTAACAAAATTTGGTGTAAGTAATTATGAATTGGTTACTCGTTATTTGACGCAAAACACTTGTCAAAATTGTCTAGTGGCGTAGTTTAACTTTTACCGCCCTATTCACTGAACCACTGAATATTATTCAGAATTGAGATATTTTTTCAAATTATCTCTTCAATTTAGAAAAAAAGTGAAATTTCGAATTTTGACTTGATTTACGAGATAATTGAATAGTTGAGTTGAAGAAAGAGGACTCAACTTCTCAACAGTGGCATCTCACCCCAGAGCAGTCATACAAGCAACGTGGCGAATTGTGGTTAACCTAAAATTTGATCTAATATCATTAATTTCAAAGATCTGTTGCTTAGCAGATATTTTAGTTTTGGTAATAGAATATCATGACAGCAAAAAATATATAATAGCACAAAGCTTTTTTTTTCAAATTGGCTCTGCCGTTACTTAATCGAAATCCATTGTAAATGTAAAAAACAAGCACAAAGCAAGTTGACCATAGACGAGACGATAGAAATGTATCTGAAAGAAGATATTCCTGGAATTTGTCCTTTGACAACAAATGACCATGCAGTGAGTCATTTTGAAAACACTACACAGTACACAAATCAGACAATGAATATCGAATCGAATAAGAACAATATAAACAAAACAGGAAACACGATATAAATGTCACTATGACTACAATAAACCACCCAAACTGGAGTTAAATCCAATAATAGCCACCAGAACTCTTCAATAATCGCAAATTCACTAACGGAAGACAGGTTAAATGCAAAACAAAACCCTGAATAACGTAAACTAATCCGGCTCTGCCTTAATTCTACGTCAGATGCCAGATGAACTTGTAGGAAATTAGAACTTCATAATAATTTGCGGATCTTTTGTTAGCCATTCAATTAATATCAGTAAGTATGAATTTCGTCGTGAAAATTTTCTTTATGATTTTTGTAAAGCTGTTAATCAACAGTTGCAAAAAGTTCAATAAAAAATATGAACTACATTTGCGTATAAACATCTATGACTGACAATGTTGCCGATAATGTGCGCATCATCACCATGCCTGCCTTAAGCTTACTGGTGGTATCGGATTTCAGTGATTTCGTAGACTCGCATTGTCCTTCTAGGTCTTTGAGTGCTAATTTTCAAACAAGTTTCATACTTTTATATATTCTGTTGACTTGTGAAAGTGCTATCAGTTATTTGTCACAGTTAAAAGAATAAATATACTAGTTAGCGCACTCTCCGTCAGGCGTTGACTTCATCTATACAATTTGCACCATCGGCTTTACCAAAATTCCTTAGTGCAATTGTATTCACCTCTCATTTCAATACAAAATGGATCATAAACAATTGAAACGTATCCCGAGAGACCGTGTATACTGCGATGCAATTTTTTGGGCGACCCGATACAACCACAGAACTGGTCTTTGAGTTCTGTGGCTACAACTCACGACAGTCGGCGTACTGCTAGCAGCCTGCCCGGCCTAACGGGGCAGGGGGAATGCTGTTTCGAACTTTTGGGGGAGCGCGGCAACTACTATATTCATTCTTTCAACTGTGGCTTTACTAATAAATAATCTAATCAGGTCATCGTGGTGGAGCGCATGCATTCGGGTGCCAGACGGCACGTGACGTTGGACTTTGGCAAACCGGTGCTGCTCACAGATGTGTTCATACCGGCCTGCTCGGATCTGGTTACGGTGACGGTGAATATTTGGCTAAGGGGGGAGGACGTGGACGATACGAGGTTAGTGGTGGCGTTGGACATCGGGACGAGGAATTTGTTGTTGAGCGATTTGCAACCGCCGCCGTTGTGTCAGTTTATGAAGGTGAGCGTTTGTGTTCCGTATTCACTTGAAATAAATAGTTTGTCCTATATTTCTAAAATCAATATCTGTGATCTCAGCAGGGCATTCGGGATTGAATTTCTCCGTGGTAAAAGAGTAGGAGCCCTCGCAAGTCTAAAATTGATTTGAGAGCTCTCAATTAAAAGCATTTTTTACTCAATGTATTTGCTAAAGATTTACAATGTAATTTGAATGTTGACCCCTAAGAAAGTAGTGCATTGAACCCTCTCTATAGTTCGATCATCTATATTTATTCCAACAGCAGGAACATTTTCATTCTGTCTGCTATGAAAAGTTGAGTAATTTGTTTTTGAAGCATTCAAATACACGAAGTTATCATATGACCATCTGCAAAGTCTCAGTTTTGCCTGTGAACAATAACGTAGAATCATCTGCATATTAGCAGATGAATGCATTTGGGAGGATCAGAGACAACTCATTGATGTACATTGTGAACAGAAGAAGTATATTTCTTGTCTACGTTCCTTATTTTCGCAGATCACCGTGGTAGGACGGTACGGCATGTCGACGATGCGCTCCCGCATCCCGCTCGGCCACTTCTACGGCCACCTGGTGGTCCTGCCCGAGGAAGTGCCCCCCGAGCTCGCCCCACACTCGCCCGACATCAGCTCCGATCCCGAAAAGCAGTCCGCCATCCTCGCCAAGCTGTTCGAGGACATCAGCTGCCGCTACAGCCTCGCCTGCTCCAAGCTCAAGGAGCTGCTGCAGCCCTTCCTCGTGGCTGATATGAGAAACGCCATGCACCTGGCAACGTACATGAACATCCTCAAGGACAAGAACATGAATGTGAGCAACGCGGAGCACAGCAAAGTGCTGGCTGCGTACCAGGAAACTGTAAAGTTCCAGCACCAGTTGAATATCATCAAGAACGTAATCGGAAGGATAGAGGGCAGCTTGAGCGATGGGGCGCGGTCAGTGAGAAACTCCGAAGTCTCTACTGACAAACTCACTGCCATAGCAGAAAACATCCTAGAAGTCCTGCTGTCGATAGATTGCACCACGGAAATGCCTCGGGAACTATGTCAGCGATTCTTCCAAGGGCTTTGCATGACGCAGCCCTCGAGGCTGCAGCTGCTAGCCGCTATTTTCCTGGAAAAACACTGCGGGCGAACGTCCTACTGGGGCGATTTCCTCGCGGACACCCTAGCGGAGACCTTCTCGACTTCCTACACTCTCAAGTTCCCGCAGGACCGGCTCTTCATCCTGCTGGCGTATCTCAGCAGGAAATCGCCTGAGAAGAGTTCCGTCATAGATGCTGCCCTTCGTGTGGTGCATGATACTCTGAAACCCTTGATGAACAATAGGAAGTCGCTGTTGGCGATCACCGTCGATTTGCCGCTGCTGTCCTGGCAGCTGATGTATCTGTCGCTGCAGCTGTCGTTGTGCAAGATGCAAGGGGGCGCTCAGAACAGGTGGAATTGGGTTCTCGGAGAGATGGTGGGCAGCAAGAATGTCGATAGCTCGAAGAACGGCAACAAAAAGAAGAATTGCAAGAGGATGGCTCAACCGGGAAATAGTACTACGATACAGGTAAAAATGTTGAATGTTTGTAGCTTTTTGCGAAGGCAATGATATTTGCATAGAAAATAGGACCAAGTGAGCAATTCAGCATTGATTCAAAATTTGTTATTTTACCTATGGGAGATAGGTATAAGTAGGCGAGTACCCTAACTCACCTAAGTATTTTGCTGGAAGGGATCCAGAACTGAATTCAATACATAATGATATTTCACTTATAATTTGAAATAATCCACAAACAGAAATCATAGATGATTGATTTGATTGTTCAGTACCACGAATTTTTAGGTAGGTATTAATTGAGCTATCTAACAACATCAGTACCATTTATGCTGAATTGAGAACGTCGAGAAATGAATATCCAACTAATCACTGTTTTTGTCTAAATTGGCAACATTGTCACGTCGATTGTGAATTCTATTGGCACCGGCGAGAAGGTGAGGGCATTACCAATCACGTGTCTGATAGTTTGAATACGGTTGCTTATTTTGACGTTTTCATTATTTTTTATACTATAAATTGATGAAAAAAAAGTGAAGAACTATTTCGAGGTATTCCAGAACCATATATTTCGAGATAATTTTTTCTAGAAATGATTGGAAAGGCCCATTTACTTTTGCAAAATGAAGATTCTTTTATTTTGGCGCCCAACGTCGGGTTCATACCATCACGATCATAGACTCCTCAGTATCTATCTAGATTCCAGAACGCATCATCGAGAGTAACTGATTGATCGATGTAATTTATGAAGATAATCTCTTACTGTTTGATAATTTATGTTTCGATACTTTGAAAGCATGTTAGGTTATGTAGTGACGAGTATAAGAAATACTTTTGATTTCAAATCGATTTCATCTTGAATGAGCAATATTCTTCTCTGACTCTCTTCTGTTTGAATATTCAACGAAATCATCACTTGTTGATAAAGGTTAAGGTATTTTTCAGAGCTACCCGACATACTCCAGCGTCGTGATAAACGCAGACTCGCAATCCTACCAACAGAAGCTGAAAAGCCTGATGGTGCAAGACAAGTTGTTCAGGTTGAAGCACTTCAAGAAAGTGCAGGACGAGAACAGGATATCCAAGGAGAAGAAGGAGCAGGCCGCAGAAAAGTCGAACGTCGTACTGAGAATGCCGCAGTTCATCGACAGCGTCCATTGTCTGGCGGTGGCCAAAGCTTTGCTGAGACTGATACTCTCCATGGATCACTCGAGCAGCGCTGACATGCTCCTATTGAGTTTCAAGGTCAGTTTGCTATAGATCGCGTGCACATTTGACAGATGACTGACCCTGGAGGTGAAACATTGAAAAAAAAATCACTTCTTATTTGTTTATAAAGGAGGAGAAATTATCATCAGGCTGTTTTGCCGTTCGATTAGTATTTCGTGATCTAGGTTTATATTCAGCAAAAATTACCTATTTGCGCTTATTTTATCACACATTAGGTATGGTATCGCATTTTGGGGATTTTGTAGTTCTCAGTTGATGACTTCGGTCTTTGTCTAGAGAGCACTGCAGTTTACTGTTTGTGTACTGACAATTATTTGTTTTTTTTTATTCTGTAAACTGTTTGTTTAGTTCATAAAAAATATAAAAATGCAGTCTCTACTAACAGATACAATACAAGAACATTAACAAAGAATTCTTTAATATATGAAAATTTAAAAATATGTGATTACTTGCCAGCTCATCTCAAAGATATAAATGATGATAGACAATTCAGAAAAGCTCTGAAAGTATTGCTTCTCAATTGAGCATAATGATAATTTATAAATCTTCATTTTCTAGTACTAGCTATTTATTTATTTATTTTTTGATTTTTTTAATGATTATAATATATTCTTGTGACTTTTTTAATGATTATATATTCTTGTGACTTATTTTATATCTATCTGTATTGACGTTTATAAGTACTTTATGTTGTATTGTAACAATGTATTTCACTCACATAATTTTCATGGTCACGTGACCAAAATGATATTCTGTTTGCAAGAAGATATGTTCCTTGACTACAATTTTGAATTGGGCGATATTTGTGCAACTTCTGATATCATCAGGTGATTTATTGAATTTTAAGACAGTCCCGTGAGTAAACTTTTTTTGGCCAAGTGTAGAATTAGCAGCATTAAGATGAAACAAGTCATATTGTCTAGTATGTTATGATGTTCATGGATTTGGAAATTCCTTACCAATATGGAGTTAGATTTGAGATATTTGAGCTCTTCCAAAGAAAATGTATTTGTTTCTTCATTTGATGGTGTGTCATATGGAAGACGATACAGTACTTTTAATGCTTTTTTATATAGAACAGATATTTTGTTGAAATTATTCTTGGAACATGAACCGAAAAAATTTATGAATTAGTTCATTTTACTAAGGATGTGAGAGTATAGAATGGTATTTGCTATATTTGGGCTAAGTTTTGGACACGATTCGTATGCCAAAATAATTTTGAAAAACTTTTTCTATCCACTGTAAACGAATATGAAAAGTGAGGTTGTTTTATCTCCAGGATCGGTCATTTGTCAAATCTGCACGTGACCTATATCGGAATATAAAATTTCAGGTTATATTTTGACCGAGAACAATTTTCAGGTCGTCTCCAAACTCGTCACATTAGGCAAACTCCAACTGGGTCAGCTTTTAGAGGAGAGTGAACTGTTGGAACTCATCACGTTTTGTATATCTTGCAAGATACCGTGGGCCCCCTTTGCTCTGGCTTGTTTTCTGCAAGACGCCATCGAGTTGACTCTGGCCAAGTCAGATGAAGTCGAAATGGAAACTGAAACCACTGCGTCCGCCAGTTGGTCTCAAAATGGTAATACCCACTGACAAAAAAATAATTAAATGTAATGTTACATACCTGAGAACTTCAAAACTTCCATCTACGGAACTTTGTGTTATTTTTAACTCCAAAATTGTTCAATCAATGAAATATTGATATAGAGGGTTACTGGTAATTCTATACATTCCTTTGGATATGTGGTAGGTGAGGCGGTAAGGAGTGAATTTGACCCTAATATGCATTATGCAAAAATTTATAGTTTTTGAGAAATTTGAAGTTTTCTGTTTTTCTCCAGAAGGTAGACTTTTCGGGTTTAAAAGTTAGTTTCCCGAAAATCTGCTGTACATTTCATCAACCTCTCAACTATAATACATGATCAATACTATGGTCTTATGTTTGGAATGCAAAAATTCCAGAAATAATTCAGTTCATAGATAAAATGTGAATACAAAGTCGTATTTTTGTTTGTGAATTGTGGATTTTAACACTTTCTAGCGGGTATTTTGAGAAAAATCTCCAAGCTACATTTATCAAAAATTTGTTAAAACTTCCTCAAGGCAATTGCTATTTATCTCGGTATACAAATGAAACTAAAAGTGCTTGATACAGGTTTGTTATTTTAAATGAATAGTGAGTGAAAATGTATACTTGGAAAATTTTTATTAGTATTTATTTTTTACAAATCCTGTTCAAAGTGATAGCCTATATTACCTGGCTGGATGACTCTGGAGAAAATAAACGAAAATATAAAATAAATTGTTGCTGTATCGACAACAATAAATACTGATAAGGATTTTTCAAGTATGTTTTCACCATTAGTTTAAAATAACAAACCCGTATTTTAGTTTCATTTGTACCCAGTTACCTCAAAGAATTCTTAACAAGTTTTTGACAAATGTGCCTTAGAGATTTTCCAAAAATAACCGCTAGAAAGTGTTGAAATCCACAATTCACCAACAAAAATACGATTCTATATTTAAATTTTATCTATGATCTGAACTATTTCTGGATTTTTTTCATTTCAAACATAAGACCATAGTGTTGATCATGCATTCTAGTTAAAAGGTTGGAAAAATGTACAGCAGATTTTCGGGAAACTGACTTTTACCACTTGAGGTGTACCTTCTGGAGAAAAACAAAAAATTAAATATCTCTAAAACTATTAACTTTTGCATAATGCATATTAGGGTTGAATTCACTCATCAGCACCTAGCCTATCACATCTCCAAAGGAATGTATGGAATTACCAGTAACCCTGTATTGTAAGCATGAATTTTTCCAGAAATCAACAGCGAGGTGGATAGCATAGTAGACAACTTCACAATAGACGAAATGCTCGAGCCTGTCATCAAGCCGACGAAAACCAGCGCTTCCATAATGAGCAACAACAACTTCCCGCCTCTGCCGTCGGTCTATGAATCAGAGGACTCCGAATTTGAGGAGCTCCTAGAAGACCTCCAAAAAGTGCGCTGCACGACTAACAAAGGCGCCAAACCTGCTCCCAGTTCCAACTCCGGCCTGTCCTGCGCAGTAGACTCCAGACTCGAGCTCGGTGTTCAAGCCAACTCGGAAATCGCCTTGAAAAAGCTCATCCTCAAGAATACCCAAATATTGTTGAGGAATGTTACTGCTGAGAGCTCGCAGAAAGAGAGCAACAACGGCTTGAACGCCTGGCCTACACCGCTGGAAAATTTCTCTCCCGAAACGCCTCTGACCAATCAGACGATGTTGAACTACTGTTTCGCCGTTTTGTTCGAAAATCTTCAGAACCAGGACGCGTCGAAGATTGAGCACGTGTTGCAGCTGTGGTTGACTTTGAACGCGAGCAGCAAGTTCGTACCTTCCACCATACCGCAGATCACTTTGAATTATGAGTCCGTTCAGAACCTGATATCGACTATGGCGTGGACGCCAGGGTTGTCGCTGACCACTTGGTGCAGCGCCTTGCAGACCCTGACATTGGTAAGTAGTAGTAGTAGTAGAGTTAGTTGATGTACTTGACACTCACTCACTGTAACTATGAAAATCGTGGTAGATAAGGTTTTGATACATGCAAATGATAATTACCATAGCAGCGAAATATCGGCTGACAGCTATTTGACACGAAATTAGTTGACATTTGTATTTTTGAAAGTTTGGTAGCAATTATTTATTTATTTATTTCAGTTATTGCATTACATTCTTTTCTTCATTGATACATTTCATACAAATAATATATAAAGTATAATTAATTTTCTAGTAGGAATGACATGAATGATCAGACAGTAATTCCTGGTATAAGATCATTCATGAAGTATTATCGACTGTTGTATAATTGAAATTACAAATAGTGAACAAAACTTACATATCATTAAGATATAGTCATATTATAGTGAACGAGAAGGGGAAAAATAAAAACAGTGAAAAAAAAAAGAAAAAAGGAAATTCATGGTCTTTCAGCTTTGATCATTCCTTTGCATATAAATATATTTCTTAACTTTATTTTTGAATTGCATAATATTTGGGCTGTTTTTGATATCATCTGGTAATTTATTGAATTTCGAAATCGCCTCATGTGTAAACTTTTTTTGCCCAAGTTTAGAATTTGCAGCTTCAAGATGAAACAAGTTATACTGTCTAGTGTGATGATCATGAATTTCAGAATTCCTGATTAATATAAAATTTGATTTAAGCTTTTTGTTGATGATATAATAGGAAATTTTGAGAGTATTGATTAAAAAGTGCTCTTCCAAAGAAAATGTGTTTGTTTCCTTATACAGTTGATTCGCGATAAACTATCGAAAGCAGCAGCGATAGTGAATTTGAAAATCTCCATACAAAATTTCCAATGTAGCAGTATAGGTATTCTGTTCAAATTTCATTATTTGACACAAATAATAATAATAATAATAAATAACAATATTTGTGCAATTATTATTGTTTCGATTTATTATGTTTTATAATATGTATGTTTTGTTGTATATATCCCTATTATAAACAATAATGTTTCTTGGGGTAATAAAGACAATCAATCAATCAATATAAGTTTATTCAAAAATGGGAATTGTTAAAGAAGAAATTGTATTCCACAAAGAAATATAATATGGAAATGTGTCTCATTGAATTGTTATTCTACACACAATGCATTACGGCCATACACAGACTCATACAGGTCGAAAAATATTTTTATGGGATTGCCCTGAGAATCCCAAAAAAATCATAGACACTAATTGAGACTCATAAAAAAAGAACTCGTTGTCAAATTTAGATCACTCTTCCTTTATATTTTCAAAATAAGTGGTTCACGCAATGCAGAGGCTCATACAGGTCGAAATTTGTGATTGCCCTAAACAGCGTAAAATAGTTATTTATTATACAAGGGAAAAAAGTAGTAGATTTTAGCTCCAGGTTGTGTTGTCTCCCGACACGTAGCGGAGGGAGACAAAAAACCGTGAGCTAAAATCTAATATTTTTCCCGTGTATAATACACTATTTTTTTCTGTGACAGACAGAAGGACGAATCAATATTGAGAAGATATTACATTATTTCGAAATCTGAAAATTATTGACGTGAAATTTCAAGTTTTTAACAGTAGGGACACCTGCGTTTTATAGGCATCTTTATCATTCTTTTGAAGTAATCAAATATCTGATGTCACTTCTGTCAGTTCAATTCTGTGATTTGATTTTAAAAAATTGCGAATTCAGTAGTTGTTTAGTAATATACGAAACCGCGAAGTCGAATGGAAGATAAAAGGACTTGCAGTTCTTTCTCGGAGACGGTATTATTGACTCATTTTTCGGAACTATAGCACAACAAAAGCCATTAACAGAGTATATACCGGGTGTCCCATTTTAATCTTTATTTGGAAATTTCTCGAAATGTATGCATCTGACGAAAAAAATTGCCGAATAAAAGTTGTATGGTTTGGAGGGGGACGTCTGGTTATAAAACAAGTTTCACCCCCTGACCCCCAGGGGAGTGAGAAATGGAGGTAACATTGAAATCTTCAATGGAAACCCCTATTTTTTATTGCTGATTCTGGAAGAGCATTAAAAACTATGAAGCTTTTATTCGGGTACTTCTTTTTTATTTTCACAAGATGGCGCTGCGATCTTGAAAAACAATATTTTACTATTTAGTTTGTAGTTGGCCACCCAGATCACCCGACTTGACTTCCCCAGACTTCTTTCTGTGAGGTTACATCAAAAACATTGTGTTTCGCGAACCCCCAACCATGCACACGCGAGAATATGAAAGATAGAATTAGAGGAGCGTGCATGGCTTTAACGCCTGCTATGTTGGAAGCGACAGTGCGAAATTTTGAAAAACGAGTGAACTTGTGTATTCAAGAAAATGGAGGTCATTTCGAACATTTGATAAAGTAGTCAATCTCACTTAAAACCAGCTTTAGTCTGACCTAACAGCATGCTTATTTTTCTCTTTTCTATGTAGAGGTGTCAAGGTGAGTAAGTTCGTTTAGCGTTAATTTGTCGTGTGAATATCACCCCAATGGCGTTTGTCTGGGAAAATATCACACCCTACACTCTTCCTCGTCTTCCGGGGGTTGAAATGTGTAAATAGTGAAATATAGTTTTTTACGATCGCAGCGCCATCTTGTGAAAATAAAAAAGAAGTTCCCGAATAAAAACTTCATAGTTTTTAATGCTCTTCCAGAATCTGCAATAAAAAATAGGGGTTTCCATTAAAGATTTCAATGTTACCTCCATTTCTTACTCCCCTGGGGGTCAGGGGGTGAAACTTGTTCCATAACCAGACGTCCCCCTCCAAACCATACAACTTTTATTCGTCAATTTTTTTTGTCAGATGCATACATTTCGAGCAATTTCCAAATAAAGATTAAAATGGGACACCCGGTATATGTGATTATCCGGGAAAAAAGTACTCACTTTTTTCCCACGGGAAAAAAGTAATTTATATAAAGTGACATTTTATAACCTGCCAACAAAGATGAAATGCCAAACTTTTTTCCCGTCACAGAAAAAAAACCATATACACTGATTCAGGCCCATAAAGAAAAAATTCGATGTCCTATGGCCTATGGCTCATGCTGCAAACTTCATTCTAACTTCTGTCTGTCTTCTAACTTCTGTCTAACGGCGAACGTTGCTCCCAGCATCTCTCCATGACTGCGATGTTGCCATCATGTCAATGTCATCATTTCACAAGACATCGCGCATTCCCTAGGTCTGCAACATGAACAACGGCAAAAAATGGATGGACCTCTCGGGAATGGCGAACACCATCGTCAACCACATGGATTTCGTGCAGCTGTTCCTCAGCCTGTTGTCCGGCATGGGCCCCATTTTCAACGGGAAGATCCTGGCCGGCCCGTCGCTGTGCAAGGCGCTGCACGACTTCCTGGTGCGTTTGCAAATGAGGTGCGACATCGTCAGTCCGACGAGCAAGTTGGGCAACGTGCTGAAGACGTCGTTGCTCAAGGTCATCTATCAGTTGGCGCAGCCGTCCGGGTCCATCGCATCGAGGCTGGGGCCTTTGGATGCGCAGTGCAAGCTGCTGCAGACCATGCTCTATCTGGATTTCGTCAACACCGATTTGAGTATCGCCATGAGCACGCTGGAGAGTACAGGTTGGTTTTGTTTTGTTATGTGTGAACTGTTGTGATATTGGCTGCAAGGTTATTGAATGTCAAATGTGAATAGAATCGGTGCCACTGTCGAAATTTTTGTAGTTTAGTCAAATCAAGAAGTGTTGGGCCATGTTAAGTTGATTGTATAACTGTCATGGTCAATCCAATATTGTCGCAACTCAGATGTCTACCCCACTTTAGGTCTTGACTTAGCTACTCGCTTGGCTTTTTGACGAGAGGTTTCGATCATTTCACCATCCAACCCTATTCATCTCCAAATAAAGAGACGGGACAATTTTCATATAGAATTATCATTTATTGATGAAGAATGAATAAAGAGGTCATGAATAAATGCTGCAACATGGCAGGTTGGCAGAGGCAAAAGAGCATAATTGGCTTGCCGAATGAACACAACGTAAAACAACACTTGGAAAAAAACAGTACTCACATTATAACGTCTAGCAGGGGGTTGACCAGCAGGCTTGAAGTTGGGGAGACGGCGAACATTTTCAATTGGTGATCACTGGTGTCGATAATGAATTGATTGCCTTATCGACTCGGCTACTATTCATATTTGGAATCGATGCTAGGTTCACAATTTTCCGCAATGGGAATGGTCGTTACCTTTCGATAATGCTTACCTAGGTATTATCGCGCGGTAAGCGTTTTTTTTGCAAATTATAAAGAAACTGACGTTTATCAACTCCGCTGACCTGATCGAAACTACAATGTACTGAATTTTTCAATTTGGAAAAGATAATTTATTATAAAAGGTCTTGAAATGAACGGTAGTTAATTCATAGGCATTTATACTTCTTGAGAATATGTTCTAACCACTAGCTTAACCGTATTGAATACATTGTTATAACTTTTAATTTCACAAGAATGGAAGGCACATTTCTTATCGTTAAAAATGTTAAGTAACTTTACGGTATTCTTCATCACTGGTTTCATTTGAGTTGAAAAACTCTTCTTTATAGTTTATTTGTTTACAATCATACATAGCTCCACAGTCCCAAATAAGTTGAGTTAAGAAAGATATGGCTTTAAAGAATGTCAGCGCTGTGAACTGTGCGTCAATGCTCACACACTTTACAAGTCGCGCATGTTAAGACCATTTTACTACAATGACAACGCTATTATACCTATTAGAAAATTTTTTGGTATAATCATTCAATCTTAACACCAAATATTAGTATAGTACCTTAAGTACTTTTATCCATCATTCATTGTAATTCGAAGCAAAGAAACAACGTTTTTTGCAATAATTTAGTTGAATAACCTGCGATAATTGTACCACTACTCAAGTTAAAAGAGGCATAACTTAACTTACCGTTGAAATACCAATGTGGGGTTTGAATGGTGAACTTTTTTACAGTCCACGCATCAGCGAACCGTAGTAGATTGTTGATAATTGTCTTTATATACAGGCTGATTCACGGTGGATGGCACGTTAGACGTTTATAGAGAACGGGACATAGGATCATTCTGAAATTTTAGTTACTCACGTAGTTGCTCTTGGTCTATCGATCTAAAATATTTTCAGCTCTGCAGCGTTGCCGCTTCTATCGAAAAGTAGCAACAACTTTGTTATTTTAAATGGAACACCCTGTATTTTATTGCATTTTCAGATTCTCTCTCAAGAGCTGATTTCATCGATGTATCACACTTGGGGTCTAGCGGAAATGATTACAGAGATAAAGGGTGTGAAAAATCGTCATTTTTCAACTTTAGGAATTTTTTTTGTCGAAACTATTCATTATTGGTCAAAACGGCTTACATGTCCCTATCTCAACTTTTGATCAACTATCTACTGACATTTAATTGAAACAAATACAGGGTCGTGCAGAATTCAGAATCTTGATCACCCGGTATATGTCCCAATTAAATATCAGTAGATAGTTAATCAAAAGTTGAGATAGGGACATGTAAGCCGTTTTGACCAATAATGAATAGTTTCGACAAAAAAAATTCCTAAAGTTGAAAAATGACGATTTTTCACACCCTTTATCTCTGTAATCATTTCCGCTAGACCCCATGTGTGATGCATCGATAAAATCAGCTCTTCAGAGAGAATCTGAAAATGCAATAAAATACAGGGTGTTCCATTTAAAATAACAAAGTTGTTGCTACTTTTTGATAGAAGCGGCAACGCCGCAGAGCTGAAAATATTTTAGATTGATAGACCAAGAGCAACTATGTGAGTAACCAAAATTTCAGAATGATCCTATGTCCCGTTCTCCATAAACGTCTAACGTGCCATCCACCGTGAATCAGCCTGTAGTGTCATAACAAGAAAACACTGAAAATCAATTGACAACACAAAAAGTCCTGAAATGGTAACAAAGACAGCGCAACAACACTGTAACGTCGGCTTTCGACATACTTGAATGACTAAAAATATATGTTACTCATAGTTAACACGGCAATACAGAGCTGCCACAGTTAATTCCATAATACATCATAATTTTAAGTAATTATGAAATTAGGAGAATTGACATTATTTCAATTAAGGAACAAAGAAACCGAATAAATATCATTTGAAATGTATATTTTATAATTAACGATATTGGTTCTGGACAAAATGTCAACAATTTCGTCTATATGGCTATGTTTCTAACTAAATATTGTTTATGTTGCAGCTGCATTGGTGTATAGTTACGTTCTGAACAGAGAAAAAATCAAATGTGTAAGCATAGGAGAAAAGCAGACCGGAATGACAAACACTTTCAGCGATATATTCGCCAGTGTTTTGGGCTCTGATTCGAACAAGCAAGATAGACCCGTATCATATGAAGACCTGTTGATATTGATGTTGAAACTCTTGGGCAAACTCGTTCAGACGCCATTACCCGATCAGCAGGTGAGAAAATCGTTACGAAAAACCAGTCGTTGGGCGCCAAAATTAATTCGATATATTTTCCATTCACATTTTGCGAGCGAAAAAAAGTTTGGATTTTTTCTCTGATCTAGTTTTCAATTAAAAGTTTGGTTGCTTCCAATTGAACCGGAAGTGATTAAAAAAAATATCCACACAGTTTTTTCAATTTACCCACTTGAAGACTCATCAAACATTTCCACAGATTAGATATCTACTTCTGGCAACACAAGTTTGAGCAAAACATTCGTAAAAGTCAGCAAAAGTTTGTTTACAAATTTGTTTGTCATTCTTTCGAATTTTAGGTTTTGTTACTGGAAAAGTTAGGGCAAAATTTTTTCGTTGGCATAATGACAAAGTCACAACGGTCTAGCAATTTTTTATACATGAATGGGGAACTTAACTCCAAGTTGCCATGCTAAAAACCTCTACCAATGTAGAAGCAACATTATGGAAGTTTGATTACTCAAAAATATAAGGATTCATTTTCTGAAATACAACTTACCATTTCTGGGAAATTGAGTGGACTTTTTTCTGAATTTCAACTCATCGATTCTGAAATTGAGTTTACCATTTCTGAAATCCAGCTAACCAATTCTGGAATCGAGTTAACCTTCTCGGAAATAAAACTTACCGATTCCGAAATTGAAGTTGAAAAGTTATAAAGAATTCAGGAACTTTATTTGTAGGAAGCGATGGACACCGAGTCCTCGGCGACCTCCCAAACGGACGAGAGCAAAGCCGAACAGATCCTGCAAGAAAATGCCCAGCTGCCGGCCTCCGTGCCCTGTTTCGCCGACATAGTTCTACAACACCATCCCACCGTTATCAGACTATGTCGCTGTTTGGCGACATGTAAGTCATCTTCACTTTGTATGCTAGCTAATGTTTCGCAAAAGGTAAAATAAATACCGAAATCGAACCCGAATCGTGACCAGGACGTATTCTTCTGTTTTAGACCGCCTTTTCGAACTTGAGCGAGCCGAACACGGTGGGAGACGCCATTTTCCATCTGTTGGCGCTGCTGGCTAGAAAAGCGTCCACCAAGGAGTTGTTGCTCCATCCGCTGTTGGTGTTTCTGAGACAAACGCCGCAGTTGAGCGAACCGCTTTTGTGGTTCATACTGCAGGTGTTGGATAATGAAGATGCCGTCAGGAAATTTTTCAGTGCAGGTAAAGGTTTTTCATCTTTTGGATCGCACGAAAGGAATGCTTATTGTGTTACATATGGACCCTACAATTCATTCACCACAAATCACGGATGAATGAATGAAATGGTGAATGGTGAGGTCTGTGGAATCATTGCCAGAGAATTGATGTATTTGATAAATATTTTTAATATAACTGGTAAATCGGAAATTCTACAAATGTATGTGCGATAATAAATTAGCTCTCACGTTTTGTATCATCATTATACGTCATTGTGTTTCGTCTGACATTTCAATGAGAATTTTGTTGCCAGGACGAGTAATTTTTTCTGACAGTTTTTTGAGTTGAATTTCCTAAAGACAACAAGACTCGAATTATAAATGTTGAGTTTATTTTGACCCAAAAAATAATTGAGTGTAATTCGGTAAGACATTTTGATGAATGCGGAAATCACATTTTTGTTGATGGTTTTTTCAATTTCTCCACTCCAAATCGCGACATTTCCAATTTCCATTCAGATATTATTCTGATAGTGCAATATTGAGAAAGATTGACATAAACGCCATCGAACATTCATTCACAATTCTGGTTGTCATGGTTTCAAAAGTTCGGTTCCATTTTGTCGTTGGAAAAAAGGGGAAAGTTTTTTCGCTGTCATGATAACAAAAAAAATCACAGCGACTTATGGGATTCTTTATACAATGAGGACGTAAAAAGTCCTCCCTCCACTTTAACCTTCGAACGGAACAAGATAGCGAGGACGGGTGAAATTCAGGCAAAAAGGTACCACTACAATTTGGTATGTGCTCACGTGACCTAGTGTCAAGTGGGCACCATCAACTTTTTTTCAAATATGAAGAGGGGTCACGTGGTACCTTGTTTTGAAGGCCTTTCGATTCTCTATTCAACTCCGCTTTGTTTGTGCAAATCGGTCAAACCGTTTCAAAATGACAAGCGTTTGAAATGTACCTCGGAAACAGTAAATCAGGTTCGGATTGAATTCCAAAACCGATTTTTTCGTGTCAATAAGTCAACGATGAACATTTCCTACTTGAAATTATGTTGCAATGCACAGACAGATAAAAACGTGTTCTTTTCATTCAATCGGCAACTCAGATCCGTCTCACCTCCTTCTAATTCAATTGATCTCAGTACTGAGAATGTAACAAGGTAAAAAGAATATTGCTATTTTCGACGATTTCCAGATGGTATAACCGTGTTGGGTGCGAGCATAGTGACCAGCAGCAATTCGCCGAGCACGTTGTCCAAAACCGGCACCATCTCCACGGTGATGCAGCATTTCAGCGGCACCGCCACCGCTCCGCCTGACCCCAGCTCGGCCATACCCACCGCCACCAACACCTCTTCGAAGAAGATCCTCCAGGTACTGTGGAAATAACGGTTTCTACTTTTAAATAAAGTTATGATCAACTAGGAAAAAGGCAAATACTCAAAGTGGGATGCAATGGTCACAAAAAGAGAGAAACTCGAAGTCATTACCGCAATAGTTCATGAAATGAAAGAAAATGGTAGATGGCGAGAGAACAACAACTACTTTCCTGGTTATATGCCACGATTATATAGAGTGGCGACATTATACCTCAAAATGGCTGGAATGTCATTCGTGTTCAAGTCATTGAATAGCTGTAAATTTTAAGGGTATTTCACATGCGGTAACGAATTTGCGCCTTCGGAGTGCCCACCTAATGTAAGGTCTAGAAATTTGTTATTTTCATTTCATCATCTAAATAATCAGAGACTTGCAAGTCTAATAATATCTGTTTCAACGATATGAACACAGACACTGTAGAATGTTGAGATGTATTGCAGATATCTACTTCTTCTGCAGTTCTTCATCTTCAGAAAGTGTAAAATTCGAGAGATATATATACTTCATTTCCGACGCGCAATTTGACTTACACCCTATCACACAACAATTATTTGGCATCTCCTCATAAGAAACGTTGAAATTACTTTACTTCCAAAAATAAGAGAATATTCGGTAAATATAACATAACATCCATTCAAAAACTATATTCTGGGGACTTTCCACTGGTTGCTGTCTTTCAACAACATTGCACATCGACAACAGATCAATTTGATTGTCTTTATTACACCAAGAAACATTATTGTTTATAATAGGGATAGATACAACAAAACATACATATAACATAATAAATCGAAACAATAATAATTGCACAATTATTCTTTTTCATAAAAAAAATTATAATAAAATATAAAATGAAAATATTATAATCCATTACAAGTAATCAAACTGTGAATGATTAGTAGATATGGAATTAAAGTTTACTGAGCAGATTGTTTTTAAATTTTTCTGCTTCTTCTATACTTTTCAACTCATTAGGTAAGGAGTTATATAAAATTATTCCATTATGGAATATTGATTGTTTACCAAAATTTGACTTATAATTATTTGCTATCAATGAATTAGATGAAGCAGGGCGTGAATCGTATCAACTTCATTGAAATTCAAATTCGATATTTTCAATTCCTTCCTGACAAAATGAATAAAACAACAAATTTTGAGTTTATATAATGAAACTAGATTCAGCAAGTTTTTAGGTTTGTATAGATTCGCAGTTGATTCTAAAAAAGGTAAATTGAAAATGGTCTTTATTGTTTTATTTTGTAATTTCATGAGTGGCTTCAAACGTGAAATATTTGTACTTCCCCAAATAGATATTAGATATTGTAAATTTGAATAAAAAAGACAGAAATAAATTCTCTTCAGGTATCTAACAGGAATGAAATTTCGAATTTTATATATAATACCAGCAATAGGATTCAATTTTTTCCTCAATTGATCTATATGTAGAGTCCACGATAATTGTTCATCAATATGAAGACCTAAAAATTTTGTTACATTTGTATATTCATTGGATTTGTTATTGAAACATATTGGGGTATTATTCAATATATCCGTCGTTCTTTTTGAGATGTACATATACGTAGATTTACTATAATTAAGAGTCAACTTATTGGTCGTTAGCCAAGATGATATTTGTTTCAAATCATTTTTAATATCATTATTGATATCGTTAAAATCTCTTGAAGTATAGATTATTGTTGTATCATTCTGAAAACTACAAAATTTACTGCCTATGACCGGCAAGTGACTTTCGGACAGTGTTTCCGATACTATTCACCATGGCATTTCCATAAGAAGGCTGTGAAAATGTATAACTAGGAAAATAATGTCGATAAAATCGAATCGAAGTAAATATCACCTCTTAGGCCTCCATGGAGAACAAGATGTCGCTGATCAACTTCGCCCCGTACTGCACCATCTCGTGCGAATCGAGCACCGCCCAGCCGGCCGACGGGCTCATTCAGTTCGTGTCCGGGGTGACGCATCGCAGGGCGAGGACGCCATTGTGGTCGTACCACTTCTACCCCGAGGAGAACCACACGGAGCTGATGCTGCGGCTGCCGAGCGCCGTGCTGCTGAAGGAGGTGCAGCTGCAGCCGCACGCCGGCGGGCTGTCTACGTGTCCGTCGTTCGTCGCTTTGGAGGTGAGAGGTTGATGGCGGTTGAGAACTTTTTCTTAAGTGATTCCACACTCACACATTAAATGGAGGGCCATCACACTCAGAAATAGAAGAATTCGAACAAGAAAAAGTTGATGAAAACTTGAATGAACTGTCACCAGAAATAAGACGTCTCTTCTTCGCAACTGAAAAAAATAGAAAATAAAATTCCACTCATAATTTGACTCTATTTCGAAGACCTCAAGTGAAGTTCTAAAGAACAATTTCAAGAAATGCAAGACTTTCGAAAAAAATATATAATTTTTGTTCCAATGGCCAATTGAGGAGAAATCACGAAAACGTCCCGAGATGAGGTCCCAGTGTGTCTTAATATGACTGACTTTTGATCAGAAAACAATTTCTCGAGTTCTGACAGCATTGGACATGTAGACTAGAGTCCCTGTATATACTTTAGACAAGAGTCCGGACACAAAACTGACAGCCGTTGGGGTTTTTAATATTTTGTTTCATTTGGTTTGCCCACCTGACAATGTGACGAAACACCATAGTCGTCTCGCCCACTTTTTTTAATTATTTCGAATTTCTGTCACTGTCACTTTGAAAGGACCCCGCACTTTTAGTACGTAAAATGGTTCTCGGTGAAATTTTCTGAATTTTCAGTGTGTTGTAGAATTCGATGAACTGAATGAATCTGCAGAATCGTTAAGTTCTTTGATGAACAGATTCTGAGATACAGGGCGTTGAAGTTACAAATCAGTATTTTTCATTTAATTATTTTCTCCAAATTCAAAGATGCCAAGCACAATTTTTTTTGCTCATATTATCAACGCACCTCCATATTACTCAACATAATTCAGGTGGTTCGGATAAAGTAATTGTTTACAGAGTGAAACATATAAACATTTCAGTGATGTCTGAAAATTCGAAGTAATAATGAAATATCGAAAAAATAATTTAGGCATGCAATATACTATTCTCATTCCATCATGAATCACAATTCATACATTTCATACAGGGTGATTTGAAAAATTGGTGACAGCTAAGACCGATTAATTCATACACATCCTGTATATTCGAAAGAATTGTTAACCTCCCAAGATAGCTGATATCGTATGAACATGATTTCGTTGAGATATATAGGGTGATCATGGAAATTTTCGATGATGAAAATGACAAAAAATCGTGTTTTTTGAAATCACCCTGTTATTCATGATTAACTCGGTGAAATTCCCTAATTATTTTTTAATATATTCATCATTCGCTCCTCAGCGCTGTCTTGAAAATTCAGTTTCCTATCATGACGGGTGTCATAGTTATTAATTCAGGAACTTGAAGAGTTGAAGAGACACACAAATAGTGAAACGTGAGAATGTGGGGACGAAAATAAGTTTAGTATTCATATACAGGGTGAACATTAGAAATTCAATAACAATAGCAGATATATGAATTTAATAATATTAATATAATGTACGGATAGTTAGGCGAATTTCGTTGGTATACAAGCTCTGCCAAAATGAATACCTACCTACCTCCACATTCTCACGTTTCACTATTTGTGAAAAATATCGGCCACTATGCGAATGTAAGTAAACGAGTCTCTTCAACTCTTCATGCAAATGGTAAGTTCCTGAATTAATAACTATGACACCCGTCATGATAGGAAACTGAATTTTCAAGACAGCGTTGAGGAGCGAATGATGAATATATTAAAAAATAATTAGGGAATTTCACCGAGTTAATCATGAATAACAGGGTGATTTCAAAAAACACGATTCTTTGTCATTTTCATCATCGAAAATCCTCATGATCACCCTATATATCTCAACGAAATCATGTTCATACGGTATCAGCTATCTTGGGAGGTTAACAATTCACTCGAATATACAGGATGTGTATGAATAAATCGGTCTTAGGTGTCACCAATTTTTCAAATCACCCTGTATGAAATGTATGAATTGTGATTCATGATGGAATGAGAATAGTATATTGCATGCCTAAATTATTTTTTCGATATTTCATTATTACATCGAATTTTCAGACTTCACTGAAATGTTTATATGTTTCACTCTGTAAACAATTACATCATCTGAACCATCTGAATTATGTTGAGTAATATAGAGGTTCGTTGATGATATGAGCGAAAAAAATTGTACTTAGCATCTTTGAATTTCGAGAAAATAATTAAATGAAAAATACCGATTTGTAACTTCAACGCCCTGTATCTCAGAATCTGTTCATCAAAGAACTTTACGATTCTGCAGGTTCAATCAGTTCATCGAATTCTACAACATACTAAAAATTCAGAAAATTTCACCGAGAACCATTATACGTACTAAAAGTGCGGGGTCCTTTTATGACCGCCAAAATTTTGCATTTTAAATTATTTCAATGTCCTGCTGCGTACATTATTGCGATAATTCATTAGAAATGGGATTCGAGTTATTCAATTTTCCGAATGATCCTTTGTCATGAAGAATGCAATGAAACGTCCAGAATGGAAAATTAATTTCAAGAAATCCGGAATATGTGAGGTAAATATTCGAATTCACTTGTGAATACAGTACAAAAAAGATGAATTTGTCGCAGAGTGACGCCTCTGCTATGAACACACAGTAGTTATTAGGGATGAGATTTTCCTGTCAGTTGACAGTGGCAGAAATCAAGAAATTAAATTATCCTTCAAGCGTGGAGTTTTCATAATTTAGTTGTTTTTGCATTGAAACTCGGCATGGATATGCCAACGAAGTCGCCTGCTGCAACCTCCTTCCCAAGGAGAGGGTCTCGGGTGTTAAATAACCTGAAAGGTTTCACACCGGAAGGTGCTGCTCAGAGTACTCCTTCGTCAGTCTCACGACGACAAATTTTAGGCCCATTTTGATAGAGATTCTTTCAAGCTGATGGATTTCAAATTGAAAGAGTCTACTGTGCCGTCAATCTCTTCAAAAAAAGAGTTCCGTCGTCATCGTATTGGGAATTACTGAATAATACGATCGCAGAGAAAGAAAATGAGAATGAGATGATGCGGAGAGGAATTGAAAGTTTGAAATCAAAACTAGAAGATTTAGGGAAATTGCAATGTGCTATGTCATCAGTCCAGCACGGTGTTTTTAATTCAGATCAAATTAAAAAATATACTGGTGACACAATTAAAATTATATTGAAACAATTATATGTCTTCTATTTTTTTATATCCCAAAAAAAACAACTATATTTTCTTGGCTATATGTGATACCACGTAGAACACTTAAATTCTTATATCTAATGAAGGAAAGAAATATCTGATGACGAAAATTTGCAATAGCCATCTCAGGAATTGATTACGAAAATTATCGATTCGAAATTTGAACACCCTGTTGTTCATTATTTGTAAATCTAATAGTTATTCTAGTTAAAATAGCCCTATTTCTCACTTCTACCTACGGCTATGAACGGTTTGACAAATAATCTAACCCTCAAAATTGTTTCTGACAATCATTGATACTAGGGGAATTGAAGACAGAGCTCGATATATATGTCTTATTCCTTTATTCAATCATCAATACATTTTTTGAAAACAGAAAAGGACAGAAGTATAGTTGTGTCCGGACTCTTGTCTAAAGTATATACAGGGACTCTAATGTAGACCATAGTGTAATGGTTCCACTTTACACCCTGTGTACGTTTTGTTCTGCGGACTTTTTCAGAGTGTTCTAGCTCTCTTTGAAGACGATGAAACATCTCATCTAATATCGAAAACCGCATGAAGATCGGTCTATTTTTTCAAAAAATACAGGTCTTTGAAATAGAGTCAAATTAAGAGTGGTCCATTTAGTGTGTTGAGAACTGTATACAGTATGAGGCAAATGTATGGAATAAATTCATTTCAAAACAAGACGACTTCCGAAAAAAATCCAAAAAGTAGAGTTCAGAACTTTTTTATCGATGTATTTTTCCAACTAGACGACCCTTCGATGTTCAATTCTCAGTAGAAGATCTCTGCAAGATTCAGTTAACCAAATGATAATCCATTTCAATTTCAATCTTCTTTTGCAAAATTTTGACTATTGGATAGACGATCAGTAGACCTTTCAAACGAGGTGTCACATGACCCCTGTTTGTATTTAAAAAAAAAACCGTCCATTACGTCATTACTCCAACACCGGTGACGTAACATCTCTCATATGAATGTCATGAGATGGGGTTTCAAAAATTAAAACTCACGTGTTTTTGGAATTTCTTCAAATGTCGCCCATTTCTGAAATAATGAATTAATTCCATACATTTGCATCATACTGTATAAGACTCTATATTTGACTACCTGGTTATTAGGTATCGGCGTACGGCCCGTCCAGACTGACCCCCGCCTGTCTGCCGCTGCCCACCAGCGGTCTCACCTACATCCGGCTGCACCTGCCCGTCCCGCGGGTGGCCGACTGCGTGCTCATTCGCCTCTACAAGCCGAGGGACGCGAACAGCATCGGGCTGCTGCAGGTGCGGCTGCTGGGCAGCTACGCGTTCGGCGGCGGCGCGGCGCAGAGCGTCGACGTCGAGGACGAGGCGCACTGCCGGCACAGCCTCGGCTGGCTGCGGCTGATGCACCATTGTTTCGGTTCGGCGACGGAGGAGGGGTTGAGGCGGCGGATGGTGGAGGGGGCTTCGCGGGTACCCGATCTGCTTACGACTTGTTGCGGTGAGTGGATATTGATGATTTCTTTATTTATAAATCCCAGGAAGCATTGTAGTTTATACAGGGATATACCGTACTTTTAGAGATTTTAAATATTTTAACTATGAAAGTATCTTGCAAGATCTCATGATGATGCCCTGGTACGATATCGACCTCCTAGAAGATGTAGACGAAATAATATCAACATTTATTCAGTAGTTATTCGTCGAGAAACTCGTCTATTTCTTGAATATATTACTGATGAATAGTCTGACTGACTTTTTCCAAAAATGTCACTTTATTGATAACTGCCAAAAATCGCATCAAATACAAGGGGATTTCAAAAATATCAAACTACAGAGTATTCTGAATAAAATCAAATAACAACATTTAACACCTACCTACTGGCCGGTTTTGATGTCCATGCCCCACTTATAACTGTAAGAATAAATAAATCTAAAGCTCCTTAGTTAACCGATGTTTTGAAATTAATGATGAAAACGAAGAATGCATCGCTCACAAAATTCAGAAAAAGGAAATCTAACGAAGACTGGAATACCTATAAACATCTGAGGAATACTGTAACCACTGCCATACATATCGAAAAAAAGGGCTATTCGAATTATGTCAAGAATCAGCAAAATAACAAAGAACTATGGGACACACTACATTTATTTGATATCGTAATACGAAAAGACAGAAAGGATGTTCCAGAACATCTCTGTGATCCAGATGAAATAAATAATCATTTCATTACTTCGGTTAATCAAGTAGCTACAGATTCACCAAATTTCACCCTTAAATTTTATAATAATTCCCCCCTCCAGGATCGTATTTTCAGTTTTCATCAAATCACAATAATTGAGGAGCTGAATACGATAGTAAACTCTATAAAATCAAATGCAACAGGATCCGATGAAATATCGATCAAAATGATTGAACTGTTGTTGCCTTTTAAATCTCAGGGTATGAGTAGTAAAAAAAATGGAATAGAATTTTATTTACCACTGAGCTTGGTTGATGGATTACCTAAGATTTACTAGGTGTTTTAAATCTTAATTGTATTGACAACAGAAAAAGTGTTTTTAGTGCCCAGTTTGATACCGTAGAAAACTAGACACTGGTAGTTCAGCGGGACAAATGGGTGGGTACGTCAGGCTTAGTAAAATACTAAGTTTGATAGGGATGAATATGCTTTTAATCACAAATAAATTCTGAAATGACAGTAATGTGCTTCAAATGTTACTAGATGGCTCAAGACTTCAAAGTAACTGAGTTCCAATAATATCAATATTACCTAAGCCACATACCACATCTTAGTCCAATTTTAAATGACTTGAGACCAATAAATATTATTCCAGCTATGTCAAAAATTACTGAGAAAGCAGCATACGCCCAAATATACTATCATCCAAAGAACATACAGCCTATTGAAACAACTTTATTCAAATAGACATTACCTCATTTTAACTTCTCGATATTTTGCTTTTTGTGACCTAACAGGATTATATGTTGGATCAATATTGGACCCTGATTCATATTATAAAAATGACACATCGATGTCAGTCTATCAAATCATTATATACAAAGGATTATACCTAATATAACTAATCACCATAGGTCTTTTGTTGGTGCCATCCCATATTTTGCCGGTGTATTTGCCGTGTTTGGAGAAGGTGCTGAGAGAATTAGCTTTATACAGTCCAGAAAACGGATTTCACACGATGCGAGTGCTCTTGGACAGTCGCTCGGGGGTTATAGAACCGCTGATGGTGTTGGACTCGAACTGGCAGGACAGGCTGATCAACGTCTCGGGGTATCAGTCGGCTTGCGAGCTGCTGTTCCAGATCTGTGAGCATCAGGTAAGGGATACCACAGAAAATTTTCATTCTTTCCTCAAAAGGTACGAAAATACAAAATATCAATCGATGCATTTTTTTCAGGACTTGCACACTTCATACCGAGTTAAAATACTGTTAGACTGGTTGGAAATGACGGCGAATCAAGCCATAGCAACAGGCAACACGGACAACTGCAACCCAGCCTACGTGTCGAGCATAGCCTCCATCCTGTGGTCGGCGAAACAGTCCCAAGTCCAGTACAACTTACGATCTCTCGTCACCATGGAGATCTTTGACGCCATTTACAATCTCAAAACGCAGGTGGAATGCAGCCTCAGCATGAAATACGCGCTAGACTCGTTGATGTGTTCCGTATGCTACATCAGGTCAGAGCTGTACTCTTTGTTGCTGCAAAAAATCGGCGTCTTGGTGCGTGGTTCGTCTGCGGGAAACCAGGCCTCGATCAGTGACGATAGGAAGGATTCCGAAAGCATGACGGATGATTCTAAGCAGAATTCTGAGTGGTACAATTACCTCGTCATCGGGGAGCTGTCAGAATTGAATTTGAGCAGAGAACAGCTGGAGACCATAGCATTGGTCAGCAGGTCTCCTAGCGCTATACAGCAGTTGTTGGACTCGGGCTTACCGAGGCTCTTGAACAGCGCCATCTTTGAGTTCTGCAGTTCGGACAGCGAGGCGACTGTACCGATGGCACGACTGGAGAACGTCACTAGCATCTTGCAGTTCTTCACCGACGTGTGCGACGAAAAAACCATGAGAGATTGGTTGGGTTCCGAGGACGGATCCTCCTTTTGGCTCCACCTACTGCAGTGGCTGTGCAAAAAACCCACCACGCAAAGTTCCAACCTGCAAACTGAGGCTCACGTGCACTTGGAGGAGGTTTGCGTGAAGTTTCTGTCGAAGTGCTGCCTCTGCCACGCGCCGAACCAGGCCAGACTGGCCAAAGTGCTCTGCGACGTCATCTATTTGCAGTCGAATGGCATATCGGGTTTCATGAGGCGGTTGATATTGCAGCTGTTGCTGGAGAACGAGAAGATCCCCGTGAGCATCGAGGCCGACGAGACGCTGTACAAAAGCACGAAGCTGGCGCAGGCGTATTTCCCCACGCATCCGGCCTTCAAGCAGACCTACAACCGAGCGATGCTGTGCCTCGGCACCAACACGACCTTGCTGGAGATACTCGAGCAGCATATATTCTTCAACACGTCCTACAAGTCGGAAATGGTGCGTAGAAATTTTAATGGAGGGCTTCACTCCAAGTTGTCAACCTAAAAACGTCTATAATAATAATAATCTTCAATTTCCTTTTATGACAAAACAATTTTTGTATAGGAACAGTCATTTCAAAGCCTAAATCTAACGTTAGAAATCCAAAATTTACACTAAATTCAATTCTTGGATCAACATTATTTTTATGGAATAAACGAGTAGGTACATAGAACGTGTAAAATACCAAGACTACAGATATAATAACACAATAACAAAATAGTTACACATTGAAATTCTTAAAATGGGTTAGCTGCTAATGAAAACTACCCCATTTTCCATCATTATTTCAAATTCAGAGGTTGATTGATTGATTGTCTTCATTACCCCCTTTATTATACAGGGTGTTTCAAAAAAACCTGACCCCCTTACTAGGGTAGGTAGAACACTGCAAAATAAATTGGGTTTACTCAGTAAAAAATTTCGTAACGGCATCCGTTATCAAGATACAAGGTGTTGAAAAAATAATTTTTTTACACATTTTCCAAGATTATGTCGAAACTACTGGCAACATTGTGATGAAATTATGTATGGATGTTTCTTGGAATCTGACACATCGCATGCATTTGTTTTTATATCTGACTCTAATAGAGGGCGCTAGTTACACGGTTCGCACCGAGTAGTTTTGAACATAACTTTTTTGGGGTTAGATTTTTCAATCAAAATTTGATGTGAACTTGAACATCATTCAATTCCACACCAAAAAGGTACTCTTGGTAAAACTCGATACTGTGTTCCGTTTTCGGAATATTTCGATTTGAAAATGATGAAGTAGTAACTGTTGCTGGTATAAGGATATGTATTAGAGTGAGTATTATGAAAAATTATCACCTATTTATTGAAAACAGAAAACAACAATACATTTCTGATACTGAACTTATTGATTTAACAATCAATCATAAGAATAACATCGAAACAGATTTGACTAAGAACATGGATTTCACAGTTTTGTTGTATCTTGAGCAGAAAGTTTATGCTGCATAGGTAAATTCACGTCAAGAGTTGTGAGACATAATTGAACATCACTCAAAGTACCTACTAGCTGATTCTCAACTGTTTAAAAGAATAATACATTCTCAAGAAAAGAATATAGAATCGTGTATTCGTCGAAACGTAGGACATTTTGAACACTCACTCTAACTGATTTAATATTTCATGTTTCTAGTCAAATATCTTAATTTTCTACTCATGATTCTTTGTTCCATCAATAACTTCAGTACAAGAATGATTTCATTGTTTTTGAATCTGGAAAAATAGGTAATTGAACTCAATAAAATTCATTTATCTACTCCTATTAAATTATATATCAATGATTCAACTGCCTTTGTACAATTAATAGTATCTGTAAACAAACAGCGTGAGTTATAATAACTCTCGCTACTATAACTCACTATAATACTTACATCGGGAAAGGCTCTTGGAATTATTTACGAACCGAAAATCAAGATGGCTCAGTACTTCTGTACAAGCCAGTTGGCCGAAAGGGAACAGTCCATTATTGTTATTGAGGGGAGTGATGTCAATTGAATAATTTTGACGTTTTCAAACTAGGGTGATACAATTATTGTGATTTTTTTTATGAATTCAGATAGTGAAGATGGATTATCATTTGAATTTCCATATGGAAAATATCACTCACAAAGAATGGCATTGATAAATTTTGAGCAATGGGGAAAGACATTGCCACATTTCTGAAATTACCAGACTGTAATTTATATACAGGGCATTGTTTTCGCCGCTCGTCGGCAACTTTATTAATAGATGCCGTACGGCACTGAAACGCCATGGCGGTTGGCGATCAACTACTGTGGCTGAGGGGTACTTTGATGATTCCGAAAAGAATAAGACAGATACTGCAAATAAAATATACAGTTCTATTACAGCTCAATCAGTTAGTACATCAACAACATATGTGCAACAAACACAAAATGAAACAATAAACTTCCATAATTCAGTTCCACATATTCAGTTTACTGGTTGTTCAAACTTCACAGTTAATTTTTTCAATAAACAATATGCGAGTGATTGGATCTAAAATTTTTATTAAGTATATTAAGATTTGTCAATAAAGTTCTTTCTCTGTACTTGTAACTTAGGATTCATTGTAATAGTCGTAGATAAAGAATAGTATTCAACTTGCGGTAATGGTCATAACTCACTTGATGAATTACAGCACTCGCCTGTGGCTCGTGCTGCAAACTTCATCTGCGTGAGTTATGACTTACATTACCGCTCGTTTAATAATATACTATTTTGTACCAGCATCAGCTATTACTCCATTATTTTCAAATCGAAATATTCCGAAAATGGAACATTGTATCGAGTTTCACCAAGAGTACCTTTTTGGTGTAAAATTGAATGATGTTCAAGTTCATAATCATTTTTGGATTGAAAAATCTAACCTCAAAAAAGTTATGTTCTAAACTACTCGGTATGAACCGTGTAACTAGCGCCCTCTATGAGAGTCAGATATAAAAACAAATTCATGCGATGTGTCAGATTTCAAGAAACACCCATACAAAATTTCATTACAATGTTGCCAGTAGTTTCGACATAATCGTGAAAAATGTGTAAAAAAATCATTTTTTCAACACCTTGTATCTTGAAAACGGATGCCGTTACGATATTTTTCCACTGAGCAAACCCAACTTATTTTGCAGTGTTCTACCAACCCTAGCAAGGGGGTCAGGTTTTTTTGAAACACCCTGTATAGACTATTTTCTGTTAGAATATTGTGCAGTTTCTGTTTGAAGAGTCTAAGTGGTGAGTTCCAAAATTGTTCGGGCAGCATATTGTAGAGTTATTTGATGTTCTTTTCAATCTCTTCTGTGGGGGTACCTGGTTTTACTTGTGCCTTGTATTGTAATTGTAATGTAGAAGCAACTATATGGAAGATTTATTACTCAAATGGCTTTATTTTGATGAAATCTGATTGTCGGAGTCTACTCAGCTCACTAATAGAAGTTTTTCATGAGAAAAATAGATATTGGGAATTCCGGTTCTGATTAGTTGAAAATTATGTTAATGCACCTGCTTTCATTCTGAAATATGTCCTATCGTCGTCATTTTTGTTACATATTTAAGATTATTTTATTCATGGACAACACTATTATTTATTATTATTTGGTAAAGGAGTTTGATCGTTGCAGTAGGGAGTAGGAATAAATTTCATTTGACTGCTAAAAATCGGCCTGAAATGACTTCGTAAGAATAAAATAATGAAGTTTTGTACCTTTTCCTAATATGAAAAGTAACGCAAGAAAGTGTCTTCAAGTGGATAAAAGCATAACACTGTGGAAACGAATAAATCACATTCGATATCATGAATAAAAACACTAACATACCTATGTAATAAGTGTTGAAGCTTATGCACTGCTCACCTTGGATAAAAAATGGTCAAAGTTTCCAATAAATAGAGGTACATATCACAAATGTCGGGACACAGATAGTTTATGGGTAGCTGAAAGACTATTCAAACATCCCAATACTTTTTATAGCATGAGATATTATGGATAGTGAGGAAATATAAATGAACAACAATGAATATAAAGAACTTAGTTATGTTGATTATCATTACGACGAGTCGAGAGTAGCCCCAGACCAGATAACGTTGGAACCCTCACATCCAGTTTATTATTCGTTTACACGTTTCTCACAAGAGTTTCTTGGTCATTATTCGAAGTTCGAGCGTGATTCAAACCCACTGATCATTTTTTACTGGTGACACTACTGATACTATTGAAAGTATCAACATTTCAGTACTGACGTACCGCAGATGCACCAGCATGATTTTCAACCAGTCAGATGCAAAGTTCACAAAAACAAATTTTTCTTCTGAATAACTTTCATTAGAAATCTGAGTCGACTCCTACAATCAGATTTTACCAAAATAAAGCTATTTGAGTAATCATACTTCCATAAAATCGCTTCTACAGTTGTAGAGGTTTTTAGGTTAGCAATTTGGAGCAAAGTCCCCCATTAACATTATATTATGAAGTATATGAAAATTGCTACTTGATTTCACTTTTACATATTGATCAGTGAAGAGCTTTGCTATTGGAATAAAACTTGTTCGCTTTGAAAACATGCAACAGGGTAATCCTCTATAATCAATCGATGAATTATGTGATTGGAATTCTGTTGTCATTTGTCATATTGTATCTCATGAGGTGATTACTAGTTTTTATGCGAAAGCCAGAATTCAGATAACGATAACTTACGGTTCTGTTCATTCATACACGAAATGATCAATATGAAATAGGTTTGTGGCGTGAATTCAACTAGTGTGTACAACCCCATTATACAAGGTAGCTTAGCTCAATTGAACGGTCTGATACGAAGAAAATAATCAAAAATATGCTACAGGTGCTGAACAAGAAGGCAACCACGTCCGCCAAGAAGGATATCTTCAAGTCCTGGTTCGCCGCCGACGAACAAGAGATGAGTATGGCCGCCGGGGTGACGGCCAAAGACAAGCGCGCCAAGGACGCCAAGAACCAGTTGTACGCCGCGACGCCGCAGAGCAAGAAGAAGCGGTACGCGTCTGAGTCAGCGGGGACCGGCGACATGTTGGAAGGAAGGGTGATCAAGTGCGAGGCCTTCTCGGATCAGCCGCTGCCGCTGACGGTGAATCTGGGGCAGCTGTTGCGGCTGATCGAGACTAGAGGGGCTGCCGTCGATTGGCCTTACGTACATCTGAAAATCTACCAGTGCAAAAGTGAGTAGGACGGCTGTTTGTTGCTTTTTGGCGCCCAACGTTATTTCGATTCGAAATAGGCATAAGGTACAGTTTCCTATTGCGTTCGCTATAGGAAAGTACAAAATTGTGGAAAGAGGAAGAAGTTTCGGATTATCAAAGCGTTACTTATCGGAGAGAGAACAATTTACAAACTTCTGGCTTGAAATCATTTATTTTATGGTGTCAGTGAAAACAAATATTGAATGGTATAATATTTTCTCGTTGATTTTGGTCAGAAGTAATTTCATATAATAGTGGGAAATAATCTGTAGTCTTAAGCGGCTACCGTCAATTGGCCTTATGTACATCTGAAAATCTACCAGTATAAAGGTGAGTAGAACGCCTGTTTATTGCTTTTTGGCGCCCAACGTTATGTCAATCCCACTCGTGTACAAGTCCACTCGTGAGATTTCTATAGCAACAAAGATTCGTGCATCTAGTTGAAATTCAAGAGAATTCTCTGTCTATTCGCATTGTTCTCGCCTGTTGTAACAATCTATTCTTTCAAGGTAACGAAGATAAATCGAATTGCGACATGACTTCGTCGACGTTCCAACAACCGCCTCCGATCTGTAGTGCCTTACAAGTGTTCAGCTCCATGGGGGGTTTGGCTTTGCTCGCTCAACATCTGCCCACCATCTACCCAGAAGCCGTCAGACCGACCCAGCAGGAAAAGTCCACGGCAGATCAGTCCGATTCCGAATGGATCAAAGTGGAAGGTGAGATTTCGTGGAAATCATCCATATTCTCAAATTGGCATAATTTATTAGATGTGTTTCTTTGTTGACAAAATCATTATTATAAAAGACGAATAATAACGGACCCATTGCACTTCCTTGGGGTACTCCCTTACTTTAAGGACACGTTCCGAAAGGCATGATCTTAATCAGCTAAGTGCTGGGCCTTGAATGCCATACAGTTCCAATTTTTCCAACATAATATCAACAACAATCGTTTCATTCCAGAGTGTGACGATATTTACGAAGACATGATGGAAGATGCCATAGGGACCACCTCTCCATCCAAGTCTTCGGTCCTCATCTCGCATGTACCTCCTCACTCGCTAACGGCTTTCGGGCTCTTCTTGAGGCTACCGGGCTATGCAGAAGTCCTGCTCAAAGACATGAAGAGGGCTCTGTATCTGCTGCGGCTCATTCTAGGTGTCACCGATGACGGAGAAGGTAAGATAAACTAGATATACAGTGTGCTATAATTTGGTCCATCCCACCCCCTGTACTTTCCAATTATTTTTTTTGCTGAACAAAGTAGATAATTTTGAGATGTATATTATGAGAAACAAAATCTTGAACATTTTGTGTCTCATAATATACATCTCAAAACTATCTACTTTGTTGAGCAAAAAAATATCAATCACAATTTCTTAGCCTACTGCGATCACAAAAACTGTCAACATAATTAAACAAAACACAAAGTGAACATAAGTGATATTGTTTTGAGAATTGATATAGGAGTATTTGTGACTAGTCCGAATCGATTACCATTATCAAAATGTTTGAAACAAAAAGGCCGAATCAGTTTTCTTTAATTTTGGTGGAGTATATGTGATCACAGTAGGCTAAAAAATTGTGATTGAAAATTTTTTTTAGCTCGACAAAGTAGATTAGATACAGGTTCCAATCATAGTGGCAGTGTTGCATATCTCTTCAAATATACAGGGTATACAAAAATATTTTTAAATAGAATGTGCCGTATATTTCGATGGTTTTGAATCACATATAAAATATATTTGAAATTAGGAGGAATGGAAGAATTAAAATCAATCGAAATATACGGCGCATTGAGAAACAAAAAAGTTGATAGGGGAGATTCATTAAATTAGCTCTTTACATACAGAGTGGCCCACTTGAAAGCGGGCCACTTTCATAAATCTTTTATTTATGTAGTGATTTTGACGAACTTTCTTATTAAATATGGAGGCGGGAAATGAGTATTTTGGTGCTAAGCGGTGTCCACTTTTTATAAAACCAAGGCCTACTAGATCACATTTAGATGCTGGAAAATCCAGAATCCATATTAGCGATCTTTTAAAAAAAAATCTGCGAATGCCACTGGAATTGACTTCTTCTGCAATGGATCTGTACCATGTTTCATGAAAATATATTCAACTTTTACAATTCTATGAAATCACTATTTATTATGCATTAAGAAGCTTTTCATGTAGTACCCATGCAGTAACATATGAGTTATAGACATTCTTATAATGACATTCCTATAAATACATTCTTCTGAAATGATATTGAATTAACACACATGAATTGATTTCAGATTCTATATATTTTTCAACTTTCTCTTTAGTAAACTCCCTTAGGGAAGTTAAGTCGGGAGATCTGGAAGGAAACTGCATCAATTTGTGGTCATCTGTGATTTCAATTTATTTATTTATTTATTTATCAAACATATCTTTCAGTCAGAACAAGTTCTGGTATGAGGAAGAACATAATTATGAAATAATAAGTAATAGATATCTATGAACTACTACACAAACATGAGTAGAAGTGAACATAAATGATAAATCATAATAAATCAGGAATCTTTTTTGTCCGAGTGTAGAACTAGCAGCAAATTTCTTGTCAAAATAATGTTTGATTTCAATTTTTTATTTATGATATTGTATGAAATTTTCAGTCTCTAATCTGTACAGTTCTTCTAAAGAATATGTTTTTGTTAAAGCATACAATTATTCTTAGAACAAGATCTCCAAACATTTATTAAATAGTTGATGGGACTTGGTATATGTGAATAGAGTAAGTACTATATTTGCAATTTTCATATTGAGTTTGGGACATATTATTCCAAGGGATTGTCATAGCATCAACTGCCACTGATTCAGGATCTCTATGTATGTTGTATTTAGGCGTGAATCTGATAATTATCGCTGATTTTTTGTAATTGTGAAGCCTACTATCAGAAATATTACCACATAAAAAGCTTCTCAATGCATGATAAACAACTTGTGAGTAATTTAGTCATTGGATCGTTGATGTTGAATATTTTTTCATGAAACTTGGTAGAGATCAATTTTCTCTCCTCCACATTAAAAAAAAATATCATCAAAATCAGTCCATGAATGAAAAATCTATGATGGTGGTCCGCTTTCAAATGGGTAACTCTGTATATCAAGTTCAGCTGCCATCAATTGAACCCTAATTATTTTTTTCAAGGTGGCGATATTTTCAATTCCCCGATTTCCGATTCGTTACCGACGCTACCTTTCGAGGTGTTGAAAAAATTATATGACGCCACTCCGCTCAGCACTGATGACGGACGGCTGCTCAGGAGAATCAGTATTAATTTTGGAGTGGTGCACCTTTTGCTGGCTTGTCTGAGCATATTCACGCACCATTCCGGCAATAACGGAGACAAAGATCAGAATAACAAGAATAAGGAGGATAGGTCCCAACTGTACTGGGCTAAAGGTACTTCATCAAATTTACGCAATACTCGCGCCATTTGCTTTACACTATGTTTATTTGATACAAAAAAGAAGCATTTCAAGAAAAATGTTTATCTGGGGGTTCAAAAACCAAAATTCAAAAATGTTTTTTAAAATTATTTGGGGCCTAAAACCCTTACGAACCATGTTATCAATTTTATAGTTTCCTTTCTCCTCCTACCTAGCAAGGTATGTCACCCATTTTCCAATAGTGATGGAACTTCTTTTATTTATAAGTTGTTTGTATTTTAGCCTGATGATGACTCCTAGGAGTCGAAACATGTAGCGCACATATTATTTTATTAAAATTTACTTGGAGCGAGACTTTGTGTTGTTCTCTTAATTATTTGATTGATTTGATTTATTTTAATACCTCAAGAATCGTATCTGTATTAATATTAATAATATTAAAAGGTTAGCTAATGAATTCCACTCAGTGGAAACAAATACATACTTTTTCTTAAGATGAAAGTTATAACATTTCAATTCTGAGTAATCAAATCATGTCAAATATTTTCCTTAAAATAAGCTGACCAAGATTGACTTCAAATCTTCTTACATCATGTATGTTTTTCAATTCATTTGGTAATGAATTGTATAAAATTATTCCATTATGAAATATAGATTTTTTACAAATGTATTGAATGTATTTGCTATCAAGTAATTCAATTGTCTAGTCCCATAAGTATGGACTGTATTGACTTCATTAAAAGCTAAGTTTGATATTTTGAATTTATTCTTGACAAAATGAATAAAACATCATATTTTGAGTTCATATAACAAAATCAGATTAAGAAATTTTGTAGGTTTGTATAAATTTACTGTTGGTTCTACAAAATTCAGATGAAAAATGCACCTAATTGATTTGTTTCGTAATTTCATTAGTGGTTTCAGGCGTGAAATATTTGTGCTCCCCCAAATAGAAATTGAATATTGTAAATTTGAATATATGAGGCAAAAGTGAATACACTTCAGGTATTTTACAGGAATGATATTTCGGATTTTGAATAAAATGCCTATGATTGGATTTATTTTATTTCTCAAATGGTCTATGTATTGAGTCGGGAATGGGCCTTTCCAGTATCGTAAAAAATTACCCTTTTTCTCTATAATGTTGAGAAGGGAAGTCAAAAACGTTTTTTTGACCACATATGTATCGATAATATTGAAAAACAAATGAATTATTCAATATTGAAAATGATTTGTCAATACCTGCGAATTCAAACGCTACTGAGCTGTAATGTCAGTGTCTCCTCGCAATTTGATTGATTCGAATTTGTGACGGCTGGGAAGCACGCCGCTGTTGCCAGGTCTCTATGAAATCCTTGAATTGATCCTATGTGACATATGTATCGATAATATTGAAAAACAAATGAATTATTCAATATTGAAAATGATTTGTCAATACCTGCGAATTCAAACGCTACTGAGCTGTAATGTCAGTGTCTCCTCGCAATTTGATTGATTCGAATTTGTGACGGCTGGGAAGCACGCCGCTGTTGCCAGGTCTATGAAATCCTTGAATTGATCCTATGTGACATATGTATCGATAATATTGAAAAACAAATGAATTATTCAATATTGAAAATGATTTGTCAATACCTGCGAATTCAAACGCTACTGAGCTAATGTCAGTGTCTCCTCGCAATTTGATTGATTCGAATTTGTGACGGCTGAGAAGCACGCCGCTGTTGCCAGGTCTCTATGAAATTCTTGAATTGATCCTATGTGCAGAATGATGCAAGGAATGCCATGATTCAAAATTACTAAGTAGTAAAATAATAGTTTATTGTTTACTGTCAAAATATCTTCCAGTCAAAAATAAAATTCTTGTATGAGAATTTCATCCATTTCGGAATAAAATCAGGTTTTTTTTAATGCAATTTTAAATTTTGAAATATGTCTGCAATTTGATTGGTAATTCACTGCTGATCACATTCAATTTACTCTGAACTTCAAAATATCCCATTAGTTTCAAGAATAGCTAGGATTAAATGTGATGCAGGCATCTGACAGAAAGACACTTTCCATATGTTTTGGTTTAAGTTATGATGTTATTATTTATTTATGTTATTATATTAATCAGTGTTACTGCAACTGTAACTAAGCAACTGGTGCTAACACAATGTTGCCGAGGTAAAATAACTCATTCTTTTCATAACTTCATTGTTCTCATTCATCAACATTATTGACAAGAAGGCAGTGATGCTCGTAGTATTGATTGATTCAAAATTTGTTCTTTTTCCTATGGCAGGTAGGTTTAGGTAAGTACCTATATAGATGAGTACCTAAACTTGAAAGTACTTTATGGAAGGGATTTGAAACTGAATGTCGTGAATTTCTGCACTGTAATTCAATACAAAATGAAATTTCACTTACATTTTTGAATAATCCACTAACAGAAATCAACCATCTAACTAACTATGTAGTGCAATTTTTCAGTACCACGAATTTTCAGGTAAGAAGATATTAGCTCAGTTATATAACAGAATCTTTTTTATTTGCTGAAATAAAAAAAAAATCGAGAAAGCAATATCCGACTAATCATAGCTTTCTGTCCAACTTGGCATCATTATCAAGTCCATTGCGCATTTCATTGGACGTTTCGCGGCCGTGTCTGATCGTTTGAATTCGCTCGTTCATTTTCAATAATTTATTATACAAAGAATTGATGGAAGAAAAAACTGGAAAAATCATTGCAGAGCAATATATTCCTAGATATATTTTTTTCTAGAAATGACTGGAAAGGGCCATTGTTCGATTTTATGAGTATAAACCTACAATGTTATTATTTTTCTCGGTTTCATTAGGTACAGGTTTCGGTACTGGATCCACCCAGCAAAGTTGGAACGTCGAACAGGCGCTGTTGAAGCAGAGGAACGAAGAGGAGCACGTCACAGTGCTGCTGCTAGTTCTGGCCAGTTACATCAATCCCAACGATGAGGCTGAAGATGAACTGTGCGGAAACGTCCTACCTCAGCCGTTCAACGAGCTTCTCACTCAGAGCGCCCTACTGCCAGCTATCTGTTCTTATCTAAGGAATGATTCGGGTAAGACATTTACTACTTTTTTCCTGTTCATTCCGCAGATCAATAACAACAACAACAAAAAATCCCGTTCATTTTGGTCCTTCGCCAAAGCTGTAGGAAAAAACTCAACTTCCAGCTCGTTTCCTCCTCTAACCAAGGAAGATGGAACACTAGCCACAACTGCCCACGATAAAGATAACATTTTTGCGCATTTATTTGCTGGAAATTCCACTCTGGATTCATCGGGAAAACATCCTCTAAACATGACGCCAATTGACAGTCATATGCCCGAGATTACCTTTCGCCAACGTACTATAAGGAAGATTTTATTAGGTCTCAACACCAACAAAGCTTATGGCTCCTACGGAATCCCACCGATTGTTCTCAAGAAATGTGCTCCCGAACTAACACCTGTTCTCTGCAAGTTGTTCAACTACTCTTACAAATTGGGGATATTCCCGTCCAACTGTAAAATTTCAAGAGTACAATCAGTTGCTAAAGAAGGCAAAAAGACCCTACCTAGCAACTACAGACCGATCGCACTGCTATCTATTATTTCAAAGATCATGGCGAAAGCTTTCAACAACGAGCTCATGAAATACCTGGAACATTCAGGTATTATCAACGATATGCAATATGGCTTCCGTCATCAGAGATCAACTGGTAACCTGCTCGCTTACGTCTCACATATATGGCAGCAATTTATTGAGGAATGTGGTGAAACCTTAGCCGTGGCACTTGATATTTCCAAGGCATTCGATCGAGTCTGGCACCATGGACTCCTCGTCAAGCTTCCATCTTATGGCTTGCCTTCCCAGCTATGTTCTCTGCTAGCTAGTTTTCTCTCAAACAGGTCTCTCGATGTAGTGGTCGACGGAGTTTCTTCTGACTCTCTTATCATAAATGCTGGTGTTCCGCAAGGATTAATTCTAGCACCAACACTATTTCTACTCCATATCAACGATTTGTTGGAAGCAACTTCATGTCCAGTACACAGCTTCGCGGATGATAGTACCCTCCATACCGCCTTCTCTTCCAGGGCTCCAATACCAGCCAGGCAAATCGGAAACGAACGAGGGAGAAATTTTGACAACATAAATATGGACTTGGCAATAATAATTCTCGAATCGGGATCCAATAATTTGGTAGATTTCAATGCAAACAAAACAAAAGCATGCCTTTTCTCTACAAAAGCCGATCTCACTGTGCCCAACATAAGCCTGTCAGGAGTAACCATACCTTTAAAGACATCCATTTTGATGCTTGGTATTACTATCAGCAATAACCTTTCTTGGGAAAATCACGTGAGATCAATTGCTAAAAGTGCATACCAAAAACTTGGTTTTCTGTTTCGAGCCAGGAGCTATTTCACTTCCAGTCAGCTGCTTATGATCTATAAGGCACAGATCCGACCTGTCCTGGAATACTGTTCCCATATTTGGAGTGCAGCACCCAAACATACCCTGAAACTGTTGGATTCTGTCCAAAACAGGGCAACTCGTCTTGTCGGTGATGCCTCGCTCACAAACTTACTCACTTCTCTGGAACACCGTAGACAAGTTGGCGATCTGACTCTATTTTATAGATATTTTCATGGACGATGCTCTTCTGAAATATCAACAAGTGTTCCTCCCTTGGCAGTCCCCGCGAGATTAACCCGTCGAGTTGAGGCTTCGCACACCTTCGTGGTCACTTTGGAGACCTGCAGAACATCTTTTTCAAAAGACTCGTTTATCCAACGAACAGCGAGGCTCTGGAACACATTGCCAAAGCATTAGCCTCCAGATATTTAAGAACAACACCAATTCCTACCTTTTTTCCTTTAGTTCTCACGATGTTCCCTGAATATTACATTATATCCCTCTTCGTGGGAACCAGAACATAAAAAAAATATATTTGGTGAGCCGAGGTTTACCAACATCGAGGCCACGTTGCCAAAGTGCGAATATTTTATCGAATGTCTATACATCATGCCGTTGTTTCTGTATCCATTCATTTTAGGTAATGAGCTCCATTGATGTGAAAGACATATTGTTGATCCATACTACAGTGGTCAACAGTTAGTTCTCGACAGTAGCGTCGACAGCGTTAGTTATGTATTGATTTTAAACCTTTGGTTTGTAAGGATTAAGGCTGATGATGGACACATGACTGTACGAAACATGTTCCCCTACATAATCTTCCGATTATGAAACGTTGTGAAGATGATTTTGTGTTTTGTGATCCTTCCATCACTACACTTCAGAGAGAAAAGTATGGACTTCTACATAAGATTAAATATGCATGTGGGTATTTCGTTTTCAGTGTTGGATATGGCCAGGCATATTCCTCTCTACAAGGCGGTACTGCAGCTGCTGAGGTCGCTAGCCGTCAGCTCGCAGTTGGTCAGCCTTTTGCTGCCTCAGAAGAACAAAAGTCGTGATCCGTCAGTGAGTTCTTTGCTGAGAAGCATGAAGACTTGCGTGGATACGTACGCTTCTAAACTGAGGTGAGTCTGCTAAATGATCACAACCATTTTCATTCCATTAAAAAAAATGTTGAAGGAATAATTATTCTAAATGTCCTCGACAACTTGATCAATACATCCAATGGGACATACTTCGAAATTCTCAAAATGTATAATCAGCTGAAATAAGAAGGATCGTTCTACAAGGAATAATACAGTTTGTAAATGAATTGTGAAACAAATAGGGGGGGGGGTGTGATGTTTCATCATATTTTATCATAAAAAGTGTCCTAACTTGCATGGTTTTCGAGAACTAGTGTCATATTGCCAAAAAAGGACGCTGACACATCTCATGAACTCTTATCATATCTATAGAGTAGTTTGTACAGAGTAGTTTTGAACTCTTCTGAGGTTAGATTTCCTTGTCCAAATTTCATTTGAACTTGAACATCCTTCAATTTTACAACTAAAACCTACTCTTGAGTAAAACTCGATACTTTGTACTGTTTTTGGAAAATTTTCATTGGAAAATGATGAAGTCATAACCGCTGCTGGTATATAGTAATTATTAGCAAAAACAATTACTCATTTATTCAAAACCAAATACAAATTACAAACAAATTATCCTAATGCACTAAGGATATTGATAAAACAAAAAAATCACAAATAGATAATTAAGATGAATGTGACTGAAAACATGTATGGGGTGGCCACTTTTTTAATGGGAATGTATTGGTATCTTCCAAACAATACTAGGGGCGTGTTTTCCATTCTATAGAAGAAAGTGCGCACTGATAGATAGATTGTTCTGAAGGAATTGATGCTGGAACGATTGAACAACACAATATACCACACATTGATGGAAAAACGAATTTCGTTGTGTCATTCTGTCATGTATCTTCAGAATCAGAAGAGGCTGATACGATTTTATATGGGTTTTATCTATCAACAATAACTCCATCTTCTATAATATCTCAAGAATCTCAAAAATCTTCAATATTGTCAAGAAGTACAAATACCTATGGAATAGCCTCAAACCCGCGTTCATTTCAAGGATCTTCAACCATAAATTAACCTTTCCAAATTAAAACATCCAGTATAGTGTAGTTTCGTTCAGATCAGCGGAATTCATAGACCTAAATTCCTGTAAAACTTGCAAAACCGCTTACCGTGCGAAACTACCTAGGTACACAATACCGCCAGGAAGCGGCCATTCCCATTGCGGAAATTGCAAACCAATCATTGATTTCCAATATAAATAGAGCAGTCATTTCGGAATGGATTCATTCAATTTTGCGCAGAATCCAGTGGCGCACTCGAAAGTTTTTCCAGGGTTTGGTTTTGGAGATGCGACACAAAGTTATATATTTTTCAATAGAACCCTATATTTCATTATTTTGTTGAATTCGTTTTTTTTTTTTCTTCAAATTGATATATAATACTTTGTAGATAGGATCCCGAGAAATGCTAAAAAAACACTAAAACATTTAATTTTTATGAAATTTTGGTAGTGGGCTGTGGATTTTTGATTTGAAGTATTCTCATTTGTGATGATTTTATCAAGAGATGAGGTAAAAAAGATAAAGGGGGTTTTACATTAATAAAACTAGCCCTGTACATGGTTTCATACCAGCAAAATTATAGAATTATCCTTTTCCAAGAAATAAAAAAACAGTGATTTCAGAACCATGTATCATTCATAGTTTCCGAGATGCCAATTGTGATATTACATCAAATTCATGGCGTGCGAAGAAGAGTGAATGTCGAGGATAGTTTTCCGTATGGAGATTTCTGTTTCAGATTGAACAATAAATCGAAACCCAAATCCAAGTTGGGCGAGCAAATGGAGGATTTGGAACAAGGGGAGGGCCTCGCCACTTTGATGCCGGACATCCAGAATACCGCCAATCTAGTGTCGAGGGTGACCAGCGGTCTGGTGGATTCTGACAGTTCCTATGACAGCGAGACTTCCATAGATAAAAGGGTGGTGATCTCGCTGGACGAACAGTATTTGAGGATAATGAAAAATTTGCAATTCTGTAAGTCATCGTTTATTTTATTCAGGCAACAATACAGTTTTTGAAAAGGAATATTCTCAGATAAATTATGAATACATTGAGAATTCGCATTCCCTATGTTATAAAAATGTCAATTATTTCTCGGTTTAACCCATTATATCCCATTGTTCCGATAGTGGAACGTGCGATTTTTACCCCCTCCACTGGTTTCACGTCATCCAGATGTCTGTTCCATCGTTCTGATGTTTATATTAGACACTACTGCAAGGAATAATCACCATTTGTAGTACATACGAAAACCCTGTGCGGCATATTTCGCTTGTGTTCCGTAAAAGTGAGCAGCACCTGAATGGCGTACAACAAGTAAGTGAACTATTGTTCTCATATTGGTTTTATGTTGTGTCCAGTGGTATTGATTTACCATTTGTTATATTGTGAACAAATCTCACTGCGATGGACATAGATATATTCAGTATAATGTCAATTACATGGTGTTTTATGAAGTGTTCCAATTTTGGAACTTTGGGCAAGGATGGGTCCATGATTATTGTCTTCTTTTTTTAGACTTTATACAACAGAAGAGCTCATTCAACTTGTGGAGGATGAGGAATTTTGGGAAGGAGATATTTTTATAACACCTCCAGATGATGGTGCTGAGAGTGCCGAAGACAGTGGTGATGAAGAAATATGCAATGACATAAACAAGCTGAGTGGTCGTCAACTACAAGCACAAGCCGTAGCAAAGATTACAAATTGATTGATTGATTGTCTTTATTACCCCAAGAAACATTTCTGTTTATGATAGGGATACATAAATACATATTAAAAAATAATAATAAAGGGTTAACTATAATGAATTCCACTCAGTGGAAACGAATTAATATTGTGTCTTATAAGATTAAAGTTATATTTCATTCCTAAGTAATCAAATCATGTCACATATTTTTCTTTCAAATTGTCCTGAGCAAGTATTTTTTAAGATTGATTTTGAACCTTCTTGCATCATGTATATTTTTTAACTCATTCGGTAATGAATTGTATAAAATTATTCCATTGTGAAAAACAGATTGTTTGCCAATGTTTGACTTGAATGTATTTGCAATCAAGTAATTCAATTGTCTAGTCCCATAATTATGGACTGTATTGACTTCATTGAAAGCTAAATTTGATATTTTCAACTTATTCCTGGCAAAATGAATAAAGCAACATATTTTAAGTTTATATAACGAAATCAGGTTCAGAAAATGTCTTGGTTTGTATAAATTTATCGTTGGTTCTAGAAAATGTAGATGAAAAATGCACTTAATTGATTTGTTTTGTAATTTCATTAGTGGTTTCAAACGTGATATATTTGTACTCCCCCAAATAGAAATTAAATATTGCAAATTTGAATAAAGGAGAAACGTTCACTATTGGTGAAGATAGTGATAATGATAGTGAACAAGAATTAGAATTCGACGATACTGAGGTTGTAGAGAATATAAATGGTTCTAAGGAAAGTGATAACGACAGCGAAGATAATATTTCATTATCAGAACTGCAGAAAAGATTGCCAAAAACGTACACAAGAAATTGGCAGAACTCAGTAGACCTAACCTGTAACTTCCCCCCATTTGTTAGCCCTAGGGAAATGTCTCGGATTCCAGAAGACCCTGTGGAATGTTTCGAACTTTTTTTCGATGAAGCAGTTTTCAACTTTCTAACGGACATGACTAACTTATATGGAAAGAAAAAAGAACCAAGTTTCCATGTTGAAATCGAAGAAATACGCTGCTTCATAGCTATACTTCTTTTATCTGGATATTGTTCAGTTCCTCGCTGGAGAATGTGGTGGGAAATTGACACGGAGGCATGCAACGAAGCTGTTGTAAATGCAATGAGAAGAAATAGGTTTGAAACAATAAAGAGATATCTTCACTGCTCCGACAATGACAATTTACCAGAAAATGATAAATTTGGAAAAATGAGGCCTCTTATTGATATGCTGAATGAAAGGTTCATCGAACATTCAGAACTACTGGAGAAGTTGAGCATTGACGAAAGTATGGTGCCATATTTCGGAAGACATGGTGCTAAACAGTTCCTGAAAGGTAAACCAATAAGATATGGTTATAAAATGTGGTGCCTGTGTGAACCACTTGGTTATCTCATGAAATTTGAACCTTATCAAGGAAAACTGAAAAAAGCTATCACAAGTGCCAACCCTGATACGGTTGCAGGATCTTCCCAAAATAGTGTGAAGAAGAGGAAAAGACAGCAGATGCCTAGGAAAAATGAATTAGGAGTTGGTGGAATGGTTGTAGTTGACCTATTGAAAGTTTTGCCAAAGGATGTACCATTCAAGATTTATGGTGATCGCTTTTTCTCATCACTGAAATTGATCAATCGCTTACAAGAACAAGGTATCGGATACACTGGTACGATAAAATATAATCGAATCGAGAAATGTTCTGCAATAGCAACATCACGACATGTAGAAAAGCAGCCCAGAGGATATTATGATTTTTGCACTGATGTGAGGAATAATGTCACCATTACAAGTTGGCACGACAATAGAATCGTATTGACTGTTAGTACATGCGATTCAACTGGCCCTGAAGGTCATGTAGACAGATGGATAGCTTCTGAAAAGAAGAAGGTTCCAGTTACTCGACCATTTGTTGTGTCTCAATATAATAGGTATATGGGAGGTGTAGATAGATTGGATCAGAATGTAGAAAATTACAGGATATCGATAAGATCAAAAAAGTGGTGGTGGTCTATATTTGCTTATTGTGTGGATGTTAGTATCCAGAATGCTTGGCAATTATACAGAAAAGTTAACGGCAAGAAAATGGATCAACTGAAGTTTCGACGTACAATCGTTCAGACTTACCTACAGAAATATGGAAAACCTGGTATTGGTGGAGGTCGTCCAGTTACACATAAAGCTATTCCCTCTCGTGTGCCAAATCAAGTGAGATATGATCGAACGGAACATTATCTTGTTGCAGCAGAAAAGCAGAATAGATGTGCAGTTTGCAAGAAAAATACCACGAAATGCTGTAGGAAGTGTAGAGTTAACTGTCATGAACACTGTTTCGAATATTTTCACACAAAGTATTGATCAATATATTTTCTGACTGATCATTCAATGTATTAACGTTCAATACAATCATATATTTTTTATATAAAATATGTTCTTGATCAATATTTCATTTACTTCCCGATTATTTACCTGAAGATAATCGTGCCCAAGGTTCCATTATTGGAACACAACAAAAACATGCGAAAAAAAAAAGAAAAAAAAAAGTGGGAGTATCATGTCTTGGAAAACATCATTTCTACCCAAAATTTCATTGAAATTTGTTGAAATTCGGGATGAAGATAATTCGGGCAATAATGGGTTAAACAACTTCTTTCCTGGCTATCCACGACGAACATTGAATTATATCTATTGAACATACACGATAAGAATTTGAATAAAAAAATCTTCTTAAGTTGAGATAAATAAATTTTGTAATTTGTTTGAAATGCAATTGCACTGAAATCTTGGAAGCTGTATTTCTACATGAACCAGACTTGGGAGTTGCTTGTGAAACAAATAATATTTTGATATTTAGATTCGAAAAATCGAAAGTATACAAACAAACGTGCTGTAACTTCTGGATCATTCGTAAATAAAAATTAGAAATTTTGAAGATGGATCGACGAATCCAACACTGCAGACAGAGTAACAATAGTTAGAAGACTTAAAACATGGCTGCCATCAATCAGTAGAGAATCGAGGCTAACGAGATAATGCCTTCCACAGTGAAACTGCAGAGAATAAAATCACTGACGAACAATTAATATATCTGGCAAAAATGATAAGACTGCAATTTTTACTTTCATAATGAAAACTGGGAGTTTGTGATATCATGGTTTCTATGTTTTTTTTCCTATAATCCAATTGTGATTTTTAATTGATATTTTTTACGTCGAATTCACGGTTCACGAATGTTTTCAACATTTTCTCTTATCCGCCCCCCTGCATTTTTTCCTGGCGGCGCCCATGCTACACCGTGACATGAAATTTGTGATATCATTCGAAAATGAGATCATTACCTATCTCAGTCATCAGTGCTCTTGATATTGATCAGTAAAATCCACATATCCATGTTTTCCTTCATTGAAATTGAGTGACTGCAGCTATAGTATTTCAAAATTTCCTTATTCAACTGTGACATGCGCTGTAACGATCTCGGCCTCTCTGGGAGATGCAGATATATTGTCCTCTTCGTTTAATGTTGGCGTATTTTCCAATATAGTTGATATATGCGATTAGTTTAAAAATTTCACAAACGATAACGATAACACACAACATGTTTCGCCAACACAGTAGCTTCTTCAGGTGATATACTGGTACAATGAACTAAACCTACGTTGGCTCGCTTAACTTTTATATATCCTACTTTCCCAACTTGAAGGATTAGTTACCTGTGGACAGAGGTTCGATAAACCGTCATTTTCGGAAATTAGGCACAATATCGACATTAAAATACGGTTTACCGGATTAACTTGAAAGGTTGGTAGCAAATAAATATTATTATCTTCTAAGGGAACAAGTTCAACAGTGGTCAACTATTGAGGTTTAATCGATTGTTAAGTAAAATGTCAAAATTTTTGAGTTTGTTGATTTCTAATGATCCAAAATGATTGAGTTTCATTCCCATATTTTCTTCGTGTAGAATTTCAAAATTATCATCAAAACTATGGTTTTATTCTAATATATGGTTGGCGTATGTTGAATTTGTTTTCTTTTTCGAAAAATTCATCTCATGTTCATGAATGCGCTGATTAATCGTACGACCTGTCTGACCGATATATACCTTAGGAAAAGATCCACAGTTGAGTTTTCACCAGGGGTATACAGATTCGAGATTTTCTGAATGGTGTTATGTTTCCATCAAGAAACGCCCGAGTCAGTACAGAATCTACCCATATTTATTGTTTGTTTGTTTTTTTCAGCTTCCTACGAGATGATATCCGATTTGCCAGACGGCGGCATAAAGTTCGTGGTGTCTCATCACTTCGAGAGCAACGCGAAAACGACCAGCGAACAATCGCATCCCACCCGAGTGAAGCGGATAGCGCAAGAGGCTGTGACATTATCCACTAGTTTACCTTTAAGTTATAGTAGTTCTGTTTTTGTAAGATATGATACGTCGCGCTTGGACGTCATGAAGGTCCTCATCACAGGTAAGAGAACATTAGGTTATGATGCATCATGGTAGTGAAGGATATCATCATAACCTAGGAACCAAGATCAGAGGTTTCAGCCGAGAAATATAAGGTCTCCTGGTGATGATATTCCTTACTACCAAGGTGTATATTACATCTTTCCACATCAGAAGTGTCTAAATCTATCGAACCGTTCCCATTACGTGATATGTTGAGATTCGTGTTTGCTCAGGGAGTTTTATCCAGGTCCACTAATAGCAGTCAGCCGACTGTGATCATTTATGTAGTGATTGAGGCTTTCAAGGATGTTTCTCCTTCCTCTCGAGACCCCAAGGGTCTTGTTTATAATTCTATGTTTTTCAAAGAGGGAATGCGCTTGCGTCCATAATGTGTCATGTGATTCACTGTTGCCATAATGTGTCATGTGATTCACTGTTGCCATAATGTGTCATGTGATTCACTGTTACCAATGTGACAATGAGATTTGGGAATGGTTCTAAAACTTGAGGCTCTCGTTCCACCTCTAGCAATGTTTTTCAATTATTATAGTTCCGTAGAACTGAATACAGTTATTTATGCAACTAGGTTTAATATATTTCATATTTTTTCCTAATCAGTTTATTCAACTTATTAAAAATGGTGGAGAATTATATTTGAGCAATAGATTTTGAAGTGATTTCTTAAGTGACTATTGATATTGTTAGTATAGGAATTGTATTTACTCATCATTTCAGTACAATCGGAATTTCGTTATTCTTCCTATTCTTTCATAATGTTCAGCTGTCTATATAAATTTCTTCTGTAATACCCAAGGTTTATTACACTTTCGAAATACCTTCCAAGGTTCTCCAGCAGAAGAAAATTTCGAAAAATGTTTCCATTTCATTGGTCACCATAATATGAGACGTGAAATTTTCATTATAATAGTAGAGATGGAGTTTTTATTTTCTTTTACCTATTTTTTTTTTTGTTGAAAAGGAATATTCTCAGATAAATTATGAACATACAAAAATGGATATATATATATTTATATAAAGCAATACATTGAGAATTCACATTCTCTATGTGATGAGAATATTTACTCTTTTTCAGTTAATTCAATAGAAAACAACTACTTTCCTGGCTATATGCCACGACGAACATTGAATTATATCTATTGAACACATACGATAAGAGTTTGAAAATAAAATATAAAAATTTCTGAAATTGAGAATTTGCATTCTCCTTCAGACAAAAATAGGTATATATACACACATCATATAGCCAGGAAAGTAGTTGTTTTCTATTGAATTAACTGAAAAAGAGTAAATATTCTCATCACATAGAGAATGCGAATTCTCAATGTATTGCTTTATATAAATATATATATCCATTTTTGTATGTTCATAATTTATCTGAGAATATTCCTTTTCAACACTTTTATACCCAATCAGGGGGTTCAAACTTGAACGATGGAAACTTGTGATTTTTATAGACCTCTAATCGCAGATTCGTGATAGAGTCTCAATTCAGAATTCATTTCCACGCCCTGTATGATGAATGTCAATTCATCATACACCCAAAAGCTATTTTTTTTTTCTTTATCGTGTCTGCGGTCTTTCGGACGCAAACAGCTGTTTCGAGCTGGACGTGTTTTTTTTGCCCCTTTTACCCCCTTTCTCCCATGCTGATTAACCTCAAGAAGTCCGGCACCGGTGCCACTTCAAACTTTTTCACTCGTCTAGTAGAAGTGTTCATGGTTCCTCAAAGTGCAGTAACGAAATGAATAAATAGAATAACTTTTCAAGTTCCTCTCCTATTTACTCTTTTTTTTTTACTCGTCTCCCCCATGCTTATTAACTTCGAGATTACCGGCTACCGGTGCCACATCAAACGTTTTCATTCATCTCTGGTAGAAGTGTTCATGGTTTCTCAAAGTGCAGTGAAAAAATGAAGAAATGGAAGAACTTCCAAGATTGTCTCCTATTTACTTTTATTTTTCGTCTCCCCCATGCTGATCAACCTCTAGACGACCGGCTACCGGTGCCACATCGAACTTTTTCATTCGCCACTAGTAAAACTGTTCATGTTCTATTTCGTTTTTGTTTTTTCGTGGCTTAAGTCCTTCAGACACACCTTACAAGAACGGCCGTTTCAAGCTGGACGTGTTTTTTTTCTACCCAATTACAACCACTTTCCCATACTGATTAACTTCGAGATGACCGGCTACCGGTGCCACATCGAACTTTTTTATTCGCCTCTAGTAAAACTGTTCATGTTATATTTCTTTTTTGTTTTTTTTTCGTGGCTAAGGTCCTTGTGATACACCGTACGCGAACGGCTGTTTCGAGCTGGACGTGTTCTTCCCGCCCGATTACCCCCTCTCCCCGATGCTGATCAACCTCGAGACGACCGGCCATCACACGGTCAGATTCAATCCGAACCTTTAGAACGACGGCAAGGTGTGCCTGTCGGTGCTGAACACGTGGCACACTAGTATCTTTCTCCTCCTAACTTCATAATTATTGTTAGATGCAACTTTTTTAACCCTTTTATAGTAAGGTTGGTTATGGTTTCTCAAAGTGAAGTGAATTCATGAAGATATAGAAGAAGCTGTCAAGTGTTTCTCCTATCTTCTCCTTTTCTTTTTTTTTTTCTCTTGTCTGATCTTCCGTACGCGAACAACTGTTTCAAGCTGTACGTGTTTTTTTCCGACCAATTACAACAACTTTCCCATGCTGATTAACTTCGAGATGACCAGCTACTGGTGTCACATCACACTTTTTCATTCGCCTCTAGTAAAACTGTTCATGTTCTATTTCTTTTTTGTTTTTTCCGTGGCTAAGGTCCTTGTGATACACCGTACGCGAACGGCTGTTTCGAGCTGGACGTGTTCTTCCCGCCCGATTACCCCCTCTCCCCGATGCTGATCAACCTCGAGACGACCGGCCATCACACGGTCAGATTCAACCCGAACCTTTACAACGACGGCAAGGTGTGCCTGTCGGTGCTGAACACGTGGCACGGCAGGCCGGAAGAGAAGTGGAACGCGCAGACGTCGAGCTTCTTGCAGGTGTTGGTGTCCATACAGAGCTTGATACTGGTGCCGGAGCCCTATTTCAACGAACCAGGTATTTATTGTTTCTTTTTTCATGATTTCGTTTGAGGTTTTCTCTTCAGGAAACAGTGTGAAGCGGGTTGTTTTATTCCCAACTGAGATACAGGGTAACAACTTTTATTGATAAATTATTCAGAAATTCGAATTGGGAGTTAGGTTATGCATTAAAAAGTATGAAAAAAAGACTACTCAGTCGGGGACTACTTTTGTTACATGTGAAAGTTACATTTCTCCAAATTGCTTGCTGAAAATAGTCTTTTTTGTTTGAATTTCAAGAAAGTTCAAGAAGAAAGGTTGTTTTTATTCTAATTTTACATATGTGTCTAAAATTTGAAATTTTTATTACAGCTTTTAGTTTTCGATATTTTTTCAATTCCTACGAAATGTCGTGTCATATAATAAAAGATTGTTTTATTAGGACCAAAAGTGACTTTGTTTGACAAGCGATTTTTACATTTGTAGCGACGCCGAGCGAATGACAAAGTCACTTTTGATCCGAATGGAACATGGTATTTTTTCTGTAACCGAAAGAATTAACAACAATAAATATGTGGAGTAACCACCAATGCCGTGCCAAATACAGTGTGTCACTTCTAATGGAAATACTGTATCTTACGTATTGTTTGGGTAAGGATCCTGAAATTTGCTGGAGCGATAGATATACCAAAAATGCACTATTAGACTCAAACAGGTCTCCCCATGTAGTGGTTGACGGAGTTTCATCTGACTCTCTTACCATGAATGTTGGTGTTCCGCAAGGATCAATTCTAGCACCAACGATTTGTTGTAAGCAACTTCATGTCCAGTACACAGCTTCGCGGATGATAGTACCCTCCATACCGCCTTCTCTTCCAAGGCTATACCAGCCAGGCAAATCAGAAACGAACGAGGAAGAAACGTTGACAACATAAATATGGACTTAGGAACAATTCTCGAGTGGGGATCCAATAACTTGGTAGATTTCAATGCAAACAAAACACAAGCATGCCTTTTCTCTAGAAAAGCCGATCTCACTGTGCCCAACATAAGCTTGTCAGGAGTAACCATACTTTTAAAAACATCAATTTCGATGCTTGGTATCACTATCAGCAATAAACTTTCTTGGGAAAATCACGTGAGATCAATTGCTAAAAGTGCATCCCAAAAACTTGGTTTCCTGTTTCGGACCAGGAGCTATTTCACTTCCAGTCAGCTGCTTATGATCTATAAGGCACAGATCCGACCTGCCCTGGAATACTGTTTCCATATTTGGAGTGCAGCACCCAAACATACCCTGAAACTGTTGGATTCTGTCCAAAAAAGGGCAATTCGTCTCGTGGGTGATGCCTCGCTCACAAACTCACTCACTTCTCTGGAACACCGTAGAAAAGTTGTCGATCTGGCTCTATTTTATAGATATTTTCATGGACGATGCTCTTCTGAAATATCAACAATTATTGGTCACTTTGGAGACCTGCAGAATATCTCTTTCCAAAGACTCGTTCATCCAACGAACAGCGAGGTTCTGGACCATATTGCCATTTGAGGTGTTCCCCGAGGCAAATAACCTCCAGAAATTTAAGAAGAACACCAGTTCTTACCTCATTTCCCTTGGTTCTCACGATGTTTTCTGAACATTACAGGATATCCCTTTTTGTGAGAACCAGAGCATAAGAAAAACACTATTGACAGTTGTTTTCTACCTAGGTAAAATTTCTGTATCACTTCATCATTATGTACGTAGGTTTGAAAAGTGTTACTTCTCATAATAGGAAATCATTGAATAATGGTGATTTCTCAGGTTAGTGGTGGAAAAATAAAGTTTTATCATTATTATGTTCAGGGTACGAGCGAGCGAGAGGCACGCCGGCCGGCACGCTCAGCTCGCGCGAATACAACCTCAACATCTGCCAAGCGACCGTCCGATGGGCCATGCTCGAGCAGATCCTGCACCCGTGCGCGTGCTTCAAGGACGTCGTCCATGCGCACTTCTACCTCAAGCGGCACGAGATCATGGCGCAGGTGGAGCGGTGGATCGGCGAGGTGGAGCTGGAGGTCGCCAAAGAGAAGAAAATGAACAGGTGCGTCGAAGGAAGCCTTGTTTCTTCATGGTTTCCGAAAATTTGAGTGCTCGGGAATTATTTGAGTCTTCAGCAATTTATAACCAATAAACAGCGTTTATTATTATAATTATAGTAGATCCAGCAAAAAATCGCCTGCCAGCACCCTGGAGACCTTCAAGAAGGTGTACCAGCAGCTGAAGGAGGCCCTATTGAAGCTGAAGCCGCCACCGGAATTGGAGGAAGACGAGGAGGAGATGCCCCTCACACCCACCAACAACATGGAGGTGAGAGAGAAAGAGAGAGATAGAATATATGCTATAGGTTGGCGACTCAGCGCATTTTCCTATGGGAATCTTAACGGTTGGCGATGTACTTCGTGCACATTTGACAGATGACAACCTCACTTTTCTTATTTGTTTACATAGGATATTCAAGTAGTTTTTCACAATTATTTTGGCGTATGAATCGTGTTTCTTGGGATATTTTTTTATTCAAGCAAGCCAAGCAGTGCTGTTGTACGAAGCAAAATAAATGCAGTGAGAGGAGACGGAATACGATTTTTGAGGTAGGTAAATATATGCTCCTGCAGTTACTAACATAGTTTTCATTTTGAAATTTTGTAATTTCTCTTTAGAATCCCTTCTGCATTAGGAGCGAGAATAGAAACACTTGTGGAGTTTCTTAAAGAAGGCAAGAAGCTTGGATTCGTGCCGTCAAACGGTCGGACTGGTATGAGATTCTGACAAAATATGGTCGTGTGTGTTACAAAAGTGACAGAAATTCTAAAGAGAAATGACAGAAGTTTTAAATAAGAACTATATATGAGTGGCTACAGTACTTTTAGATCACAATTTACCTGAAAAATTGTATTCCTTCGTCTCTCGTTGCATTTTTTGGTGGAAAGAACATGAATCGTATGCCAAAATAATTTTGAAAAACTATTTGAATCCTCTGTAAACAAATTAGAAAAGTGAGGTTGTTCTACCTCCAGGGTCGGTCATCTGACAGATTTTTATTTTTTTTTTTTTTTTTTTATTTCAGTTATTGCATTACATTCTTTTCTTCATTGATACATTTCATACTGTAGTAGCCCATCCCCAAGTGCCACCACTGGAATCACCTGAAGTGTACCTGTGTGTGGTGATAAGAGGAGACGCGAGCAGTGGACATCGATATCTCACAATGAGAAGATCCATTCGTTTGTTTTTAAATGTTTAACGTATATTCTTAGTTTGTTATATTAATCATTTTTAATATCAGTAAACCAGTAGACACATGTCGATAGTCGTTTTAGTGTGCCTGCTACAGATCAGAAGTGAGATTTGAATCTATCCGAAATAATTGTGATTTATTTCGAAACGCTCAACGACGTGCTCAGTGAAAACATCGGTCATTTAAATAGAACAATCCCGCGAATCCCGCGAATTATAAAAATATCGGACATAAACAAAACTGTGTTACCATTCGACATTATTGTGAAGTGATCGTATAGTTAATCTTGCATCATTATCATCAACTTTTTTAACAGTGAATACCAAAATACAATCAGTGAAATCAAATTTGATTTTCCGCAAAAAAAAGTGTAAACAAACGTGGTCGAGTCTCGAGTCTACAGTCCAGCCGCCCAGACTAGTCCTCCCCACCAGCCACGAACAGGTCAAGCCATCGATAAACTTGGTCCATCGTGCATGGAGTTCTGCGCTGCGTTTCAGATTTTCTAGCTCGCTGAAACTTTGGGAATAGAATGGAATAGGAAAAGCCTCTTCGTCAGAGACCACTACAGCCTACAACGTTGCCGGAGCGTACACAATTTCGGTAACTTAGGGAAAAATACGAAAATTCCAAAACTGTAAGTAAATTTGACTCCCTTACTCAATTCGAGGATGCACCGACCAGGTTCTGTGCCTTTGGAAACATATGTTGACCAGCAGGACGACGTACGACCTGATACGGCACCACCATTAACATTTTTCTATGATACACCTCGAAGAAACGTACAATTTGACGAGCAATTTGATCAAACACTACCTTCACCGTTTCTTAAACCACACGAAAGGTTGCCGATGTATTATCCCAATGATAATGTCAATAGGCATTACATGCCAAACGTTGATTTGCATAATGTACCAGTTCAGCCACAATCTCGAATAGGAAATCCCCCGCCGACTTTTGGACCAAACGAAATTCCCCCATGCAATTTTCAACCGAACTTCCAACGGAACTTCACTACATTTTCTAGTGCTCCAACTGCTACATTCCCAAATTATCATCAATATTGCAACAATGTCAATCATCCTTCACAATACACCACTCAACCTGGTATAGGTCCGTTTACTCACATACCTTCAGCAATACCGAGAATTCATTTTTCTCATGAAGCCGATTATGAAATCGTTGAATTTGACCCCGATGATCAGTCAATAACCCCCGAGAGATTCATTCAATCTGTTGAAAATGCAATGCAGTTATACCACTTGAACGAGAAAAGTGCAATTCTGCATGCTAAACTGAAATTGAAAGGAGTCGCTAAACAATGGATCAATAGTGAAAATCCATTTACATCTTGGACAGCATTCAAGTCACAATTCTTGGAGAACTTTGTTGTTCCCACACATTCTATAGATATTCATCATAGATTGCGAAACCGAAAACAAAATGATCACGAATCTATTCGATCGTATGTTTTCACTATGAAATCAATCGCTAGAGGATACGTTGATGAATATAGTTTGATAACATACATTATACAAGGCTTGCAAGATACATCTTTGGCAAGACATTTCTCGATGGACATTCCTAATTCAACCTCAGAACTAATTAGGAAAGCTGATAATTATATGACCTTCGAAACCACCAGGAGGTATACCCAGAGCATGAATACGAGAGAGAAATCAAGGTTTTCGTCGAAATCAGATTATGTGCAAACAACAACCAAGAGAAACCCTCAAGATTCAACTGCTACCACGAGCAGAAATATTCAGCTGAATAATCAATCCAGCAACCAACACCACAATGATAGTATTCCTTTTACGACATGTCCATTTTGTCTTCAAGGAGATCATAGAGTTCGAGATTGTCCAAAAATCCCATGCAACAAATGTGGACGACAAGGACATATGGCCAAACATTGTAATTCTTCAGCAAACCCTTGCATTGACCTGAGTAGGAAATCATTGGTAGTTGAATCAACACCTCAATCATCTCATACTCCAATGGAAGATTATTTTGAGGAAAAACGTACATTGGTAGTAGAAACATCTGAAGATGATATGACCGTCAATCTCGAAATAAATGGTCATCAGGAAAATGTTCTTGTTGATACAGGCTCAGCAGTAAATCTGATAACTATCTCCAAGGCTGCAGCATTGAATATACCTACTTTAGACGTGGACGATAAAGAAATAAAACCTATCAGATTAATTGGACTCAACGGAGCAAACTGTAATAATATTGGAATAGCATGTGTTCCTGTAAAAATCAAAGATCAGACTATAAACTCCAAATTTCATGTAGTAAGAGATACCGCTATACCTGTGAACATAATAATAGGAAATGAACTTATTCGTAATCCAAGCATCATTTTGAAGATCGAAAAAGGAATTACCAGTATTGAAATAGAAAGTCCAAACCAAACCCCATCATTTGAATGTTTGAAGATCAACCCAGAAATCAGCGACATTACTAAAAAACAAAACGTTGATTCATTCCAAACCAAAATGATAACCACACCTTCTACACGAGAAGCTAATATTCGTTTATTCCGGGCTGTATTACAAATAGTGTTCGGTCAGCCGCGACAAACAATCAGTGATCGAGGTACGGGAATTACCTCTGATGACTTCACAGACTTTTTGAAAGACCTATGTGTCGTGCAAGTTCTTGACGCGCCAGCTAAACCCGGAACAAATGGACAGTGCAAACGGTACAACCGAACTCTTTGCAATTTACTCGCAAAATTGGTGGACAGTACTGACGATTGGTGTTCCAAATTACCAAAAGTTCAAGTAATTCTGAACAATACCGTACAACGGAACATAGGGAATACCCCTGCGCGTATTCTTTTCGGTTACGATTTACGTATACAAACCGATCAGTTTATCAGGGATTTGATACTCGAATCAGTGCAAAACGACAACGAGTTTGATCACACGGAACTTCGGAAACAAGCTCGAAGGACAGCCGAAAACAAACAGCTCAAATCCCAGGATCAAAACAAGCACTCCTACGATTTGAGACATAGACCTGCACCAACCTATTCAGTAGGTGATTATTTTCTCATTAGAAGCACACCAGTGCCAGGACAGACCAAGAAGTTTCAACCGAAATACCAGGACCCCTACCAAATTTTGAGAGTCCTAGACCATGACCGGTATTTGGTTGAGGATATTCCCGGAGCCCAACACACTCAACGTTTCTACCACGGGACGTTATCCAGTGATCGACTTCGAGCATATCACCCAGACGATGATGAAAGCCAGGCATCATCTTCTAGTAGCGAAGCCGAACAGGAAGACGTCCAATTGGATGGTCGGGACGACCATCATGTCAGGATAGCCGACTGTAGTAGCCCATCCCCAAGTGCCACCACTGGAATCACCTGAAGTGTACCTGTGTGTGGTGATAAGAGGAGACGCGAGGAGTGGACATCGATATCTCACAATGAGAAGATCCATTCGTTTGTTTTTAAATGTTTTACGTATATTCTTAGTTTGTTATATTAATCATTTTTAATATCAGTAAACCAGTAGACACATGTCGATAGTCGTTTTAGTGTGCCTGCTACAATACAAATAATATATAAAGTATAATTAATTTTCTAGTAGGAATGACATGAATGATCAGACAGTAATTCCTGGTATAAGATCATTCATGAAGTATTATCGACTGTTGTATAATTGAAATTACAAATAGTGAACAAAACTTACATATCATTAAGATACAGTCATGTTATAGTGAACGAGAAGGGGAAAAATAAAAACAGTGAAAAAAAAAAAAAAAGAAAAAAGGAAATTCATGGTCTTTCAGCTTTGATCATTCCTTTGCATATAAATATATTTCTTAACTTTATTTTTGAATTGCATAATATTTGGGCTGTTTTTGATATCAAAATATGTATTGATTGACAAAGAGTCAAAAAATTACCTTAAAATGAAAAAACAAGAACTAGAAGTAGAGGAAATCGCTGCCAATACCACAATATTATAAAATCGATTTGAAATTTCAACACTCGCAATAAGAGACACATCACAATATATTAAAACATTCATTATTCCAGATTTTTTAGGATTTTCTCTCCTCGTTTCTATAAAATAAAATATGAATATTATTTCAATATACATGTAGTAAGGACAAATCAGATGATTTGCCCCAAAATGTCACTGCCACAAAGGTTTATCCAAAATAATGAAGTCAAAACTTCTAAATTCGAAAAATCAGGGGGATATAAACAATTTTGAATGCACTCGCCACACACTTTCAATCTCGAGTCGATTCCTAGATTGTTGCTAATACTTTTAAAATTATTTGATCTCAATATTACACCAATTAATAATTGAAAACTTTAACAAAACCTCCTTGTTTACTTCCTACACAATACACTTTGAATGGCCGACAGGTGCACTATAGATTGCAACGTTCGGTCGTTCGGACAATGTTGCCAAGCTTCTTCTTCATGGCTTGATAGTTGAAGACGGCTGTGCTTGTATCAGTATTCGTTCATATGAGTCAATGCATTAGCCAGGAAAATAGTTGTTTTTCTCCCGAAATCTATCATTGTTGTTCATTTTATGAACATTGTGTGGAAATGACTGTGCTTTTTGTTTTTATTTAACTACATATTTTCAGGTGGCCATCGAGGTGCATCATGCAGATACCGACAAGGACATGGAGAAGATGGTGAACGACATGTGCGAATGAGCGAGGGATCCAACTGCATTTACCTTTTTTTATCATTTCATTGTAAATTGTGACTATAGGTACATTTTATTTCGTTATATATAGAGCAATATTTTATATATTTTTGCAGGTGACAACTGGATGATTGATTAATTGATTTTCCAAATATGATTTCGGACCCAGTAAATTTGAGTGACTGTTGATTGATGGAGGGTTAGTTACCTATGTATAACTTGTGTCATGGATTTTGTTGATACTGATGTAGAATAACCAATAAATTATTTCCGATATTTTAAATTGTTTATAAACGAATGTGATTTAAAATTATAAAAATAATGATATCGTTTCATGCATTTTCTTGACTACTGACTACTAGGTAATAATTTCCCCGTAAAAAATTGTAGGTTCCCTAGTTCATATCATTTCAAGGTTTTTGTATTGAAGTGAAAAATAGAATTCTGAGAATAAATCTATTAAATAATGATGAAACTCTGAATCGTCCTAAGACGTTCAGATTTGTTATGTAGGACTCTAATGCCATTCTTTATGATAGACTATATTTACTCATTTATCACATTGAAAATGGAATAAAAGTTATGGTGTTTTTCCTACCCGATACTAGAATCAAGTGATCATGCAAAAAATGCGCACATATTGAAAAATGAAAAAAAAATCGAACCTTTTTGCGTGCCGCCTCTGCTTTCAATGGGACATAGATTCAGATTGTCTCTGCAATTTGGAAACTCTTTGCCCCATGTATGTTTTTCGAAAACTGTATGGATTTCGAGATAAATAAAAGTGGAAACCGAACCACTTCTAAGAGGACTGCCGTTCACGAGATTAAATTATTAAAACACAACACTTCAACCATCAGAAGCGACAGTCTAGCGATGTATAGCGCCTAGACCGTGTGTCATACAGTCCCTGATATCAAAAGTTTAACCAGTTTCAGTTATACAGGGTGACCTAGAACTTTCTACAATACAATTTCAGATTTTGCAATCCAGTTAGAGAAGTTTTTTTTCAAATAAAAACATTTTTTCTCTGTTTTCCCTACTTTTAATTATACTGGTGTTCAAAAAATTCAATCTCATCTTTCAACTGAATTTCATTTGGTATGGAAGCTTCCTGTCATTCTATTTTCCAATAAAATGTTTGAGAAATGTCAAATAAGTGTGTTTGAGAAATAACGGTTTTATTACAAGTAATTTATTTTTGACATTTATCTAGAGATCCATACAGTTTTCGAAAAATTTACATAGAGGCGAAAAGTTTCCAAATTAAAAGGACAATCTGAATCTATGTCCCATTGAAAGCAGAGACGGCACGCAAAAAAGTTCTACAGGGCTAAATTGGGTACGACCCCTGAAAGTCTATCACCCTGTAGATATTCAAAAACGCTCAATAGCCTCAAATATTAAATTTTTGAAGTGTATCAGGTGTACCAAATTTCAATCATTTATGCCGAAAATTGTAGGAGAAAATTCAAAAAACATTAAAAAATCTGAAACTTTGACACCCTGTAAATCGGAAACGAAGCTTCCACACATATATGTTTGTATGAGATTTTCATCTTAAAAAATGTCTTCTTCAAGCTGTTAAAGTCCTGCTACAAAAAACTGAAACACCCTGTATATGTATATACATTCTATATATGATGAAAGTTATAATTTATTATTGGTTTATTCAACAGAAAACAATAACTACTTTCTTGGCTATATATGCCAGGAGGAATATTGAATTATATCTCACAGGATGATAATAAATTTTCTTCAGATAAAAATATTTAAGTATGCACACATAATATTATTCTGGACATCAACAGAAAACAACTTTTTATTCCTTATTCTCTGGCTATTTGCCATGTCAATCACTTTTAATAATTATATCTGTTGAAAATCCAAAAGGACTACATGAAAACAAAATCCTCTGAAATTGAGAATTTCTTTCTGTCCTTGTAGCCATCTTACATGTCCTGTATGATGAATATCAATTTGCCATACATCCAAAAACAAAAAAAATCATCTTCAAATTTGATTATCTCAGAAACTCAATTCCAAAAGTGGAAGAAGTTCCACAAAATATTTTGAGTGATGATATTCACCATCCTGTTTTCATTGAGAATATAATGGGAGAGAAATATTGGATTATTCCTGGAACTGTGAATAGCCAAATCCAGGCATTTACATCCAAGACAATGGACATGATACCTAAGCATGTAGTCCGTTGACCACTACAATTTGTAATTGCAAAACAAATGAATATCAGCTCTTTAAAATGATGTATTTACAGTACAGTATATTAGGTCTAGAATTACTTTGTGGATACTCTAGTACGTTTATTCCAGGAGAAGTTGACAGCATAACTTTTGGGCTTGAATTTCTTCTCAAGGCTGCTCTCCTGAATAAACCATGTCCATCCATTCTTCTCACAAAAATCAATAGCATCCTCCTTGGTTGAAAATTCTACATTCATGTTAGACAGTGGATCTCCACTAGAAAACAAATCATTTTAAAATCAGAAAGCAGAAGAGACTGTCAATATTTACGTTGAACACCAGCCCATCAATGGGTTCTCCCATCGTTCTCTGGTTTCAAAGTCAATTTCCCAATGGCCAATATTGTTGGTGCCACTTTGCATGCAGTTCTTGGCAGGTTCATATATTCTCACTCTACGTTCTTTCACATGTTCTTCTGGAACCCCAGTAATAGGAGCTATGCAGGTCTAAAAGTGATATTTTCAATCTTCAGGACACAAGACATTCAACAACTCAGTGAACTTACTGTTCCTTGTACGGTAATATAATTCTGTAGTTTTTTCTTATGTTCTACTTCTTCAGGGGTTAGGTGGACAATATCGTTTTTAACTTGTGGTTCGCTGGATCGTACGGCTGAACTGGACAAATATTTCAGTGACATCGGACATTTTGAAAGGCATCTCAGCCTCAACAATGAAGAGGACATCCTCGAAATAATTTGTGATTATCCAATAAAAGTTGTTACTCAACTAAACCAGAAAATGACGTTTAACATTCAACCATTTTATTCTTCTTTTTTAAATGGAATTCATCCAGTATTCTTCTTATTCCTTTAGCCGCCTCATATTTTAGTTCACTTCCATTTGGTGTCCATTGCTATAACACTACTACAGGGTGTTGTGTTTCAACAGTGATTTTCTTACCAATTTTCAACAATTAATCAACTCACTGATGTCAAAGTCTATTATTTAAACATAAATCCAACATTATTAATAAATTAATACTACTTTTAACAATCTCACTGTGACATATAATTCAGTCTTGTTTTCAACTTAATCAAATGGATTATGGGGTACAATCCTCAGAACATTCATTCATATTAAATCTAATGGGATATTTCATTGTTTCAACATCTTGTTCATCCTGTCAATCTCTGAAGCAAGAGTGTCTACATTTTCTTTGAGAGTGATATTTTTCAGTAATGTATCTTCCAGAACAGCTTGAAGCTTCCTATTAACATCAAGAGACAACTCCAAAGTCACACTCTCATCTGTAACATGAGATGTATATAAAGAGGCCATTAAACCATTAAATTTAGAAAAGTCTGCCTTATTTCTGTCCATTTTGTTAGATGTTAAAGCACCAGATTGTTCTCTAAGAATGTAACTTTGAAGAAGCTTTGTTTTCTTCTGTATATCAGCCACAAGAGTATTAACATGTTCTTCTAGAAAGTCTATTTTATCAGACTTCTTGGCACTCACTTTTTGGATATTTACAATGTGTTCAATGAGTGTCTCTTTATCTATTTGTACATCTGTTTTCACTAGGCCAGCTGAATCAGTAGTATTCAATGATGAACTGGAACTGTTGTTACTGGATTTACTTCTTGGTTTCTCATAATCATCAAGCTTCCTGCGGCAGTAATGCAATTCTTTGTTCATTTCCTTCAAAGACATTTCATACTTTCTCTTCATGAGGGTCTCTTCCCCTTTCATATCTGTCACTTGCTGTTTGCACTGATCATAAGCCTTTGTTACTTCAACTAGTTTATTAGAGAGATCATCATTTTCTTGTTTGAATCTTTGTCCCTCATCAGACATCTTACTGGACAACATACAAATCTTGGATTCAGCTTCTTTAATCTGCCTCTTCAGTGATGTATACTCAGAGCTGAGCTGCTGGATTTTGGTTTCCCTAGATGTGAACTCTGACTGAAGCCTAACATTCTTATCTGTCAACTGTTGAGTAAATAGAAGCAACTCA